GTTCTTAAGGGAGTTTTGAATTATTTTAGATCTCTGTGCACTGACCTCAGGCAATGGCTCCTCCCTTCCCTCACACTGCTTAAGCCTTGGTTTCCTTGCCATTCCTTAAATGTGCCAAGAACACTGCACCTCAGGGCCTTTGCACTGCTGTTTCCTTTGTCTGGAACTCTTCACTCAAGATAGATGAGACATAGATGGCTCACTTCTTCATCTATGTCTTTCCCCAAATGATTCCTTAGGGAGACCTTCCCAGACTCCCCAGTTTTGAACTTATGACAAAAGCCCTCCGCGTCCTTCTCAGCTATATTTTTCTCCATAACCTTTATTGCCACCAAATATCATATACATACACACATTACATATGTATGTGTGTATAGATATTTTTTCTGATCTTGTTGCCTCTCTCCCTGGACGAAATATAAGAGCAACTTATTCACTGCTGGATCAGCAGTGTCTAGATCTTGGGCCTTGCATATTACAGGTATTCAATACATTCAAGTAATTTGAAAGAGCAAATTACCAATTAAGAAAAGAAAATTCAATAGGCAAGGTTTATAAAGAATGGCTGCCCTAAAATATTTGAATACTTTATACCAGGACTCCAGACATCATTCTCACCTCCCTATTCACTGAGATGTAACATCTAGAGATTTGCTACAAAATGTAAAATAGGTTACTTCCTTTATTTCCATTATAGGACCATAAACAACACTGACTAAAAAAATTATAAACAGCAATGGATCAAATATCTCAACCCTCTGTTAGCTAGTGGCATTTGCTGCTGTAAGTTTTTACTCCCTTTTTTTTTCTTAGACCTAGGAGTTGAAATGGACATAAAAGACAACTGAAGTGCCTACTGTTAGAATATCAGGAAGACAATTAGGTGACATGAATACAGCCTCACATGTCTTAGAATTTTCTCATTAGCTGTGACAGCTTTAGATGAGAGAAAAAGACGACACATATTCCTAAACAAGCTAGGTAAGAGGGATCTATATAAGAGGGAGACTGTTCCCATCAGAACAACGATCTACTCAGGAGGCCCATGTGCCCTAGAGTGTGGTTGTTCGCACCATTTGCACTCTGCAGCCTCTCGGGGCTCCATCCTCATCAGCCGAGGTCTAGACAGAGATAAGCAGAAATAAACTGCACACAGATTTGGTATCATTAAAATGTGGCATAGAAATGCGACACCAGGACTTATTCCTGGGCTTTATTGCTGATGAAAACAGCTTCCTAAAAATAGTTTCCTCTCTCCTGCAGTCAATCCATTTTCTTCATCTGTCAAGTAGTGTTAAATGCACTCCTCTTTCACTCAACTTTGAATGCCTTTTCACCTGTATTGTTATTCTTGTATTCCAATATTGTCATAGAGTAGATTCTGGTTAATACTGGTTGCATGTTTGTAATATAGTTTCAAGACATTGTTTTCCTGCAGACTGCACTGTGAGGCAGATTGCCATAAAATGAAATCAGACTGGCTATATGCTGTTGTCATGACTGATTTAGATTTCATGAGAAATTGTTAAATGAGCAGAGAAAGCTGATGAAAACCGATGAATAGTATGTTTGGGCTCAGTCAGGTGGGCAGGGGAAAGTATAAAATAGCAAAAAGTGAGCATTACTAATTCCTCATTGAATGTCTACATTAGGTAACAGTGGTGAGGTGAATGATTAGATGCTTTGTAATCTGGGTGATGCCCACCCTGAACAGGTAAGCAAGTCTTATTTTGAACATGGCTCTTATTTCTGTTAGAGAATTCCCACCTTTTGGCACTGAAATGGCTAACATAATAGCTGCTCAGAAAATGCCCTTCAGTATAGCTAGATCAGAAGAATAAGTTCTAATGTTCTATAGCACTATAAGGTGACTAAAATTAACAATAACTTATTGTATATTTTCAAATAGCTGGAAGAATGGATTTTGAATGTTTCAACATAAAGAAATGATAAATATTTAAGGTGAATATGGTAATTACCTTGAGTTGATCATTAATTTTGCACACGTATTGAAATATCGCACTGTACCCCATAAGTATGTAGTTATGCATCAATTTAAAACAATTTAAAATGCTTTTGAATAGAAATAAAATTCTTCACAATTTAACCTTTTCTTAAAAGAGCTATCAAAATTTTCAAACTTGGCAAATTATATTTTTATGATCTTTAATAAATGTAATCCAACTTCCTAAGCACTTGTGAGAAACTCCTAAGTGTAATTCAAAATTTCATTGTGCATCTAAAATCTGTTTTCTAAAACGTAATTGTCTATATTCACTGTCACAGTTGGAGGAAAGCAAGATACTATTTTTCTTAAGTTGATTTGGATATGCATAGTGATACAAGCCTAACTAAGAGGTCAGACAAGCTTAGAATAGTAACACTAGCTAACTTTTATGATTTATAGCTATGCCATGCACTGTGGTAAATGTTTTAAAAATGTTTAAGCATAACAATGGTTCAAAGTAGTTACTATGAATCTCTCTGCTTTATAGATGGGGAAATTGAAGCAGAGAAGGTAATGTGCTTGAACTTAATGTCCAAGGTAGAACAACTAGTGAGGCAGCCGACATTCACACTTAGGCATCCTGACTCCAGATCCAGTGCTCTGAACCACCATGTATATTGCACAAACAAAATCAAATAGAAGCAGTTAATAACATGGAATGATAATTAATGTGTTGTTACATTAATTCAAAGATACAGATAATTTGGTTATAGAAATTACACAGTAGTTTAACAATGCTAATATTTAAAGTACTTTTGATTTCACTGAGAAATGTAACAAATACAGGTTTACTTCATTTATGAAATTATCTCAATGAAGTAGTTTCAGAAAAAAAGGGCTAAAAGGATCACATGCTCTTTATTAGTTCTTCATTGAGACACAAATGTTGCTAAATCATGGCCCTTTCTTTCAATTGCTCCCCTCCTTTGTACCTCCAGAACTACTCCGTTAGGTGAGAATCTTTTACCTGGACTATTACAGGAGCCTCCAAATGGTCTTCCTCAAACCCCGGTTTGTTCTCCATATTGCTACAAGAAGTATCTTTACAAGCCAACAAAAACCACTATATTACTCTTTTCCTCATTAATCTAAAAGACTTAAAACATTGTTCTTAATGATTGGCCCCCAATGATAATAGATGAAAACTATGGGCCCTCTCCCAGTAAAATTAACTTTCTACATTCCTCAATATTCTCTAGAACCGCTTACTAGAGATTTCTAAAACTCCATCTTCAGCTTGCCTCTTTTGATATCCCACTGTATTTGTCCCTTCAAATACTCTGCACTCAGGCCCCATTAAACTTTGTATTGTTTCTCATGCTTGGAATATTCTCCAAGTACTTTTCTAAGTGAACTGTTATCTGGAACACCATGCTGGAATAGAGGAAGACCTTATGATATGGCTATGTCTAGGATTCGAACCTTTAAGTTAGGGGACATTAGTTGATTACAAACTCAATTTCATTATTGGTAAAATAATGATGGTAATATTTCAGAGTTTTCTAAAAGATCAAATGATATAGTGAGTGAAAGGGCTTGGGGAACACCTTATAATAAGTATATGTCACTATCTTCAATCCCAGATCAGTTATCACTTTCTCTGTGAATCCTGACTTGCCCCTTGCTCCTTCTCTCCCTAACCCAATCACCCCCCCACTCCAGCAAGTGGATTTCAGGTTTTCCACTCTGCTTGCACAGCAGCCAAAGATGATACCTCTAAACTTGGAACATTCTTTGGCATTTATCCGTTTCTTGTCTGTTTCATCTAGAGCAGCAGGTCTTAGGTCAGGCTGTACCTTTAAATCACCTGTGAAGCTCTTTAAAAATCCATGTCCTTGGCCAATTGAATCTTGAGTTTCTGGTCTGGTATGCCGTGATGCTTTTTAAAGTTCCCCAGCTTGTTTTAATGTATTGGTGTAAACTACAGATGACAGATTTACTCCTTGAGAGCAGGATTTTATCAGTGAAGTTTCATTGCCAGTATGGAGCCTGGATGTTATACAAGTGTGTATGCAAGTGGTTGTAGAGTGAATGAATGAATGATGGCCACCTATCCAGTCCTTCTGAATATACATTTGATAAACTTCAATTTAATTATGAAAATACAGCATTCAATTTTAACATTTACATTTACACAATGGTAATCAATACCTAAACAGAGAAAGATATACTTTAAGCTTTCTTAAAATCTACACATTGGTTTAGTCAACTTCCTATTTATGCATTTATGTGCTGATTTTTCTTTCATTATTTTGATTTTCAAAGTCCTATTAGCTACGTGGTTTTAGCCTATGAATCTCTTAAATATCTTGAGCTGAAATTAGCGGTCTACTTACTACTATGAAATTTCTCCTTTTTGAGCTGCTGTATATAATCCTTTCCCATCTGGCATTTGTTTTGCTGCCTTCCTCTCAAAGTGTGTATGTAGATTTATATTTAACCTGTGCTCTTTTAGTAATCCATCAATAAGTGTGTTTAGCTATAAAAATATACACAGTAGTTTGGGGGAAAGAAAGCAAAGAACTAATGGCATTAAAAGCATAGCTCTAGTAATTTGTTGAAATTAACTTTTTCATAATGGCTGGTTGAGCTTTTCTGAATGCTAAATGAAAGCTGCTCTATTATAAAATGTTTCAATAGTAAATAGTGTCAGAGCACCATGACTTATAAAATCAGCTTTCTCATCTATATAGGAAAGATTCATACGTTTATTTAAAGAATTTGATTTCAGAATGGCCTCTAGACACTAAAGCTGAATGGTGAGTAAAGAAAGCAGATTCCTATCTTCTCTGATAAAGAGGGTCATGACTTCATTATCTCATGTCTAGTGGAAAGTAAAGTGTTATCAGCTCATCAGAAAGTCCATTACAAAAATGTCTCTAACTGTTGGGGGATCTTCATACTAGAAATACACAGGCTGAATATCTTTATTGAAATATAAGTGGTTGATTCTGAGACTATATTTAATTTCTTTAAAATGTTATTTTCTTAGGTAATCAGCTCTGACACAGGGACCACTGTTTCCTTCTGGATGATAGACACTGGGCAAAAAAATCAGTTTACTGGTTGCCATGGCAATGCGGAAATCAGCACTATGGCCCTTGATGCAAATGAGACTCGGCTTTTGACTGGCAGCACAGATGGGACTATAAAGGTGCGAACACAATGATGCTTTTCTGTTCAGATATGAGGAGACTAAAATACCATGCCAGAAGACATGGTTATAGATATTCTCATTTTTTGCCTTTTTGGCATTGCAAGAAGAGAAATGAGACAAGAGGGAAATAACTCAAACCATCTAATATCAAAGCTGCTAGAAAAATAAACCTCTGGAAAAATGAATAATTTTTCTAAATTATTTAGAATGAAAAGACAACTTGGCTTACTTATTTCAGAAAGCGCCTTTTTCAGTGTACTGAATACAGGTCTACTTTGGGGAATACGATTGCCTGGATAATTTCATGTGCTAATGTCTCTAGTTTTTTTTTAAATTTATTAAATGAGAAGTCAGGACCACTTAAGTAAACTTCAAAAAATATAGATGTAAAATTTTCAAGAAACAAACATTTAAAGGTAAACCTATTTTGTAATTCTCATTGTTATGTGAAATTCAGATAGTGAAGGATAGTAGAAAGAATAATCAATCTTATGCATTCTAAACTAACATGATTTTATGGTTCTAAGTTTTTTGTTGTGTAATTCTCATTTTCTTAATGGTCAACTTTTCATGAAAAACTAGATACTTGCTATCTGAAGTTATGCCTACCAGTGAACCTTCTCTGCTCCCTTCAGCCCCAAGACTCAGAGTAATGAGTCTGTGATTGGAAATGGTTTGTGCCACTTAGAGGCAACAGCAGTAATTTCCTGAATAAATGGAGTGTTTCTCAAACCTGCTATACGTGGGTATTAGTCTGCCTTCCATGGTGTAGTGTACGATGCACTCGGTTAAGCTGTAGAGGGTGATGAAAAACTACCTGGATATGGGATAAGTAGGTACAACAGCCTAGAACTTTATTCAGGGGGATTACAGGCTGGCAATCATTAGTATGAGGAAGGTGCTATGGTGGGTTGAAAAAGGAATCCCTGGAAAAATCAGTAGAAGTTGGCCTAGGAGAAGGTTAATGGAATGAGGTATTAAGTGGAGATTTGGGTTTAAGTAAGGTAATCTAGTTTACAAGAGAGCTGATAAGATGTGTGAAGGTACCAGGACAACTGTAATCCCAATAATTGAGGTGAAATAAAAGAAATAACTAGAGCTAGAGTATTAAACAGTGGTTCAGGGAAATAGGAAGCGCCAATATCTCACTTACCAGTCCTGGGGTGTAAGAATAAACTGAATATTGGAGTGAATGGATTAGGTTCTGTTTACCTCTATCTTGGAAAGTAACTAGGTATGGAATCTAGGGTAAGGCCTACCTTGTAGATGTTGCTAAAATAGTCCCAACTAAGGGACTTGGTAGGACCTGGGGACATTCAGATCTTTGCAATAGCTACTTGTGGAAATTGTTTTAGGTGGACTTGGTAAGAGCCATTTTAGAGGAAAACAGTGACATGGATGAAGAGTATGTGTGCACCTCAAGTCTCAACTGAAGCTTCGACATCTTAGAAGTTAATAGGAATGTAGTAGTATAATGACTGCTTCTGAAGGTGCATTTATCTTAAGAGCACAACAGAATTCTGAAGTCTGGCACTTCGGTGTAAGACACCTAAATCAGGGTTGAGTTGCTTTGGCCATATTTTATGAAAAAACAAAAATGAACGACATTTTCCAATCTAATTTATAATGTAGAATCGAAATTCAGTACCTATGTAATCAAAGACTTAAAATTAACTTATTCATCATGATTTTGAAGGGTCTATTTTTAGTGTTTTTATAATTAATGCATGAATACAATAAAATTTTGAAATAAAATAGATATATAATGAAGAGATATAATCCCTGTTTCCAGCTCCTCCTCTGAGGCTACCACTGCTGTTGTTTTCTTGCACAGCCTTCTAGCCATAAGCACCATTTGTTTATTTTCATTCAGTTTTTTTTTTTTTTTTTTTGAGACAGAGACTTGCTCTTTTACCAGGCTGGAGTGCAATGGTGTCATCTTGGTTCACTTCAACCTCCGCCTCCCAGTTTCAAGCGATTCTCCTGCCTCAGCCTTCCGGAGTAGCCGGGATTACAGGCACTCGCCACCACACCGTTAATTGTGTTTTCAGTAGAGACGGGGTTTCAACCATGTTGGCCAGGATGTTCTGTGATCTGCCCACCTCGGCCTCCCGAAGTGCTGGGATTACAGGCGTGAGCCACCACACCCGACCATTCTTTCTTTGCTTGTTTTTAGAGACAGGGTCTCACTCTGTTTCCCGGGTAGGTCTCAGACTCCCAGGTTCAAGTGATCTTACTGCTTCAGCCTCCCAAGTAGCTGGGATTACAAATACATGCCACTGTGCCTGGCCATTTGTTCTTGATAGCAGCCTACTATACGTGCTGTTCTGCATTTGCATTTTTCTGTCTTGGATATTGAATAAATGGATACAATAATAATAATGTTAGCTAATTTTTATTCCAAGCTTACTATGAACCAGGCACTATTTGAAGCACTTCACACACACACGTGCGTATATCTGTAAGGTTGGTACTCCTATCATCCCGATTTTGCAAATGAGGAAACTGAAGCCCAAAGAGTTAAGGCAACTTGCTTGAGCTTCCACAGGTGGTTGAGTTTTGGCAAAGTCTACGAAAATGGAGATGACTCATTTTTCTTTATGGCTACATTATATGCTACTGCATAGATACTCCTTATTCCGATTGTACAATTCCTTACTAGTGAGCAATTACACTGATTCAAATCTTTTGCTTTTTAACAATGCTGCAAAAATATGCCTGAAAATGTCATTTTACACATATGAATGTATCTTTGGGATGATTTTCTAGAAGCTGAATTTTTAAGCCAAAGGATATATGCATTTTAATTTTTTTTTGAGACAGGCTGTAGTGGGGGTGATCCTGGATCACTGCAACTTCTGCCTCCCAGATTCAAGTGATTCTCCTGTCTCCCGAGTAGCTGGGATTATAGGCATGCACCATCATGCCTGGCTGATTTTTGTAATTGTAGTGGAGATAGGGTTCACCATGTTGGCTGAGCTGGTCTCAAACTCCTGATCTCAGGTGATCCGGCTGCCTCGGCCTCCCAAACTGCAGGATTACACGCATGAGCCACAATGCCTGGCCGCATTTTAATTTTGATAGCGCCAGTGTGACCTCTGTATGAGGTGCCAACAAGGTTTCGTAGTAGTGCTTAGTCTTAACTGCTGCTAATCTAATGATGCTCCCTTTTGAAATATGCCTGTTGGGCTTGAGTTTTCACTCCACTGCCTGAGCAGGTAAACTAGAACGCTTGTGCCCTCTTGAGGACTGAGTCTGGCACCCATTAGCAACAGGAGATTTTGATCGATAGAGAATGAGAAATCTAGTAAATGTCGACTGTTTCAGGGTCTGTATCAGCTATTTAATCCTCCAAGCATCCCTGAGGAGTAAAGTTCCTGTGTCAGATGAGGAAGCAGAAATTTAGACACAGTGAAAACATCAGGATTTCCAGATTCCAAAATGATTTTCTTCATGATTTTATAGTCCCTCCCGTTTAGAATACATATTAATGCATTTGAAGAACTATTGGTATAGATTGATCGAGTTATCAGAAGAGTCTAAAATACGTAGAGTCATGCACGGTTTAAAACATTTCAGTTCACAACAGACTGTATATATGAAGGCGTTCCCTTAAGATTATAATACCGTATTTCTACTGTACTTTTTCTATGTTTAGATACACAAATATTTACTATGGTACAGTACAGTAACATGCTATACAATTTTGTAGCCTAGGAGCAATAGGCTATGCCATATCATCTAGATGTGTAGTAGACTATCATTTAGGTTTGTATAAGTACACTGCATGATGCGTCTCTCTGAAAGTATCCCATTATTAAGTGATGCATGACTTTATATAGGAAAAAGTCAGTTTCTCCTGTATCATCACACTGAATACAACACATGCCTCTGGTCACCAAAATGTGTGTGGAGATTTTTCCCCACACCCCAATTCTGTGGTAGATTTTACAGACAACATCAGCTGGATGTCCTCCAATTCAATTCTATTCTGACACCATCTACTTGGAGATAGAGTCAGATCCCACAGGTTGAAGGTTCAGTCTGTTTCTTCCTTCAGATGTCAGTCACAAAAATAGATTGTAACTTGTGCTTCTGACTGACAGCCTGTAAGTCAGCATTCTTGTGACCTCCTTGGATCTGATTAATTTGCTAGAATGGCTTACAGAACTCAGGGAAACACTTGACATACATGTATTCATCAATTATAAACGGTATTATAAAGGATACAGAAGAACAGACAGATGGAAGAGATACATAATGCAAGGCATGTGGACACTCTTCTATACTGGGCTTTTCACCCACCAGCAACCTCCACATATGTTCAGCTGTCTAGAATCTCAACTCCCATACTTCCGTGTTTTTATGGAGGCTTCATTACACAGGCATGATTGATTCCACCATTCACCACTGGAGATGAACTCAACTTTAAGCCCCTGTCTGCTCCCTGCAAGTTTTGGGGTCGGGCTAAAGTTTCCACCTTCTAATTATGCCTTGGTGTTTGAAACTGACCCCTACCCTGAAGCTATGTAGGGGTCCCCAGCCTGGAGTCATATCATTACCATACTAAGGACTCATAACTAGAGAGAGTCTGAGGGTTTTAAAAGTGAATGTGCCAAGAAATGGGGATGAAAACCAAATAGATATTTCACCGTATTACAAGAGTGATAGAGTGGCAAAATTCAATGACGAATTGGTTTTCTTTAATGACTGCATATCCTAAATGAATCCTAGTTCAGACTGTAAACATAAGCGTTTATCTTCCTGTCTCAAAGGTGGTTTTAATTTCTCTTAAAGATATGGGACTTCAATGGATATTGTCACCATACCCTAAATGTTGGGCAAGATGGAGCTGTGAATATTTCACAAATCCTCATTCTTAAGAGGACAATACTGGTTACAGGCTGGGAGAGGTAGGATTGTACCTCATGGAAAACTATAGGAAGGTAAAAAGGTGGTTTTTATTTTAATTGAAATCTGAAAAAAAGCATAAAAATCTGGTTGACTCTGTCGTTAACTTACTGGTGACCTAGGTGAATGATACCCTAGTTGAAATTGAATGCTTAGTGAATAAAATATTAGGAGATTGCATAACTTGAGTGGCTTTGAGGATTATGAGATTTTCTGGCTTTGGAAATTTTTCTTTAACCATTTCAAGTGGGGATGTATTACGACCTCCTAGGTTCCAAAGGTTTCCCAAATTTTATAGTCAATAAATTCTTAACATGTAAATTACATTCCTTCAACTGTAAAGGAAACTCATTACTTCTTTTCTCCGACTTATTTTCAATTGCAACACAAGAGGGAAATGGCCCCGAGTTCCGTGATAGCTCCTCGTATTAGTGCAGAAAAGGGCTTTTCAGAAGGCACTTACTCTTCGGAAGCATTTCTTCCATTTCATTACAAAGAAAATTGCATCTTTCCTTTTTCCTGAGAGAACTAAGGATCATAAACAGTTCTGCGGCACTCTATAAGCACTAGGAACATTAAAGTGTGATAAGTTTTGAGAATATATTGTCCATTAAATCAACAGTTCACAAAATATTGTTCTAATAGGTAACCATCCAACGTTATTTACTGTAGAGTTATGATCTTAATGCTTTGAAGCTAGGATTAAAATCAGACTTTATAGCTAGAAAATCATCAGTATATATTTGGGGATTTTTATCAATTACAAGGAAGAGTTTTTTCTAATGCAAATGTGCAAATACAGACCAGCAAACAGTGCCACACACTGCCTTATTTTCAGGAGTAATTTGACAAAAAGTTTAAGTATAGCCCCATTATTCTACTTGATATTAAGAACTCAATCATCCTCATCTGTGAGGGACAAGACTTCACATCTTTGAAAGGATTTATGATCCATGTCAACCCACAACCCCTCCAGTCTATGATCTAATGATCTCTATAATTAGAAAACGGCAATGAATAAGTTTTGTTCTTTGCCACGTGTGGTGGCCAACTGATCCAATTTAAGTTTTAAACAAAAAGGAATTTTTTTTAAATTCAAGTCAAAACTTGGCAATACCATTTACTTATTTTTGGATATCCATAGTTTAGAATTAGCATCAACTATAAGATGTTTTTGATTGCTTACAAGGAAAATTAGGAAAGAATAGATGTCGAGTCACCTATAAGTGGTTTTAAGGAACATCTATTGTTCTGATCTATGTTGGTGGGTGGTCACGTTCTGTAGTTTGGGGAAGCAGCTTTGGAAAAACAAATGAGTAAGAAAAATTATCACTTTCCATCTTCCTTCATCTTTTCCATTTTTACTCAAGGTTGTCAGGACTAGGCTATGTTAGTTCAAATTGAAAATTGAATGAATACATTCTTAGTTATTTCACTTTTATATTGGTGAATTTAAAAATTATACATTCTAGGCCAGAGACCTTATGTTAAGAAAGATTTTACAGAATCTAAGACAGAATTCTTGTTACCAGGAGGCATTTAACAAAAGAGGCAAGAGGGCAGAAAACTGTTCAGTTATAGTTAGAAGATGGACCTTTAAGCCAACTGCTTAATAATTTAGTGATTAGAGAAGAAATAACTGGAAGATTGTCATCTTATTAAACTTTAATACTTGCTTTAGAGTCATAGCTTTTTACTTCAGATTTAAGATAGAGATTGATTCAATAATTATGTGGAGGATGGGATGGTAATTTTTAAGTACTTAAATATGCTATCTGATTTATTTACAGTGCTGTATAGCATTAACCACTTTGCGCACTATCTAATTTTATCCTTAGCATCATGTTGGAAAATAGGTATTTGAGGTATCTATAAAATATTGCCTGTCTTCAGCTCTTATCTCTGTAAGCTCAGTTATCCATTTGCTTGCTGTGTCTGACTGCAATCCCAAATGTGTTCTCCACTGAAATAATGATCTTTCCAAAACTTGCTTCTTCTACATTGAACTTCAATTAATTGCCAGAGACCCAGATATCCACTGTGGTTCTCCCTCTTCCCACACAAAGAAGTCACTAATTCATATCTGTTTTATGCCCTGAACATTTCTTAAACCTGCTCCTGTAAGTTGAACAAAGTATTAGTATCATTCAGAGCATAATTTCTACTTGAGTGAATGCCACAGCCATCTGACTTGTCCTTTGCCCTTCTAATGCCCACTTCTCACTTCTTAAATAGATTCTGTTCACTTTAGCTATAATGATTTTTTTTAAGGAGTTCTATGTTACATCCTTGCTTAAAACCTTTTAGATTGTCTACAAAATAATTCTAAGCCCCCTCTGACCTGGACCTATTCTTTCATTTTTCAGTTTCATTTTCTCCCGTTTTGTGTATATTCTAAACTATCAAATAGCAGCCTGTTTAGGGTATTCGAATACAAACCACACTGTTTCACACCCTATGTCTTTATTATCTTATCTAGAAATCCCTCTCAAACGTTTTTTATTTGGCTAACATTTATTCGTATTTCAAGACTCGTTCAGATATCTTCTCTGCCAGGACATTTCCCTCAACTCTCAGTATAGAGGACAAAATGTCCCCATTTTGTCTTTGTGCTCTCCAGCTTCTTGCATTTTAATATGGATAGTTATGTATGTGTGCATTCCTGGAGCTTACTAGATGCTTGGTAATAATCGTTGAGTCACTTAATGTTTGTTGAATAGACAGGGAAACGAAGGATTAGAGAGATTAATTACTCACAGTTGCATTCCTAGTGAGAGGCAAGCAGCATAGATATTAAAATCTATTCTATTCTCTTCACAATTAATCAGAAGTATTAGCTTTTTTTTTTTTTTAAAGGGAGGCTACGGAGGCTTGAAGAGGTTGGGTAGCTTGACCAAGGTGACAAAGTTAGTAGGCCACTGAGTTAGAATTCTGTGCCAAAGTCAATACTTTCTACCACTCCTGAGTGGACCGATTGCAAATGGCATCACACCATGAGACAGCAATTATATACTTAAATAATTGAGTTCATTTTAATTGATGCTAAAGAAACAAGACAAACACAAAAATTGTTAGCAACTTAACTTACCAACAACTCAGATATTTAGCTTACTATCTTTCTTTCCTTTCCCTTCCTATATGTATTTTAAAATTGCACCTAGGTTAGAAATTACAGTAGGCCGAATGTAAAAGAATGATTCCTGTTTCAAAGGCATCTATTTTTTTAATGGATGGCAGGTCAATACATAAAAGGCAGGATATGGTAAATAGGAATTATTTGGGCCTAAGCAAAATGAACTAGAGAGCACATGTTAGCTATTTATGAAGACAGTCATTCACATCTAGAGATTTTCTGTCAGTAAAAAGTCCCAAATTTAGCACCATACAAATGTATTTCCCATTTTAAGCAAAATATACTTAGAAACTAAGTTGTGAATTGGCATAGAGTCAATTCAAAAATACCTGGTTGAATCCCTGGCCATATTTATGTTGATCAAATTAAATGACTAGATAATCAGTTAACTTTGCGTTTGTTCAAAGTTGGCATATGTATAGTTCTAGTAAAATTAAACTTAGAAATTTAAGATTTTATCTTGCCTCTAAAACCTATGATTTTAACATAAAGTTCTCTCTAAAAAAAAAACAATCCAACAGACTTATTTTTATCATGTTGGTTTCTATTCCCAGAGTGCTTTCATCTTGCAAATCCTACCCATCTTTTATGGCACTGTTCAGATATCAGTGCTCAACTCAGCCTCCTTCGACTTCTACTCTGGCCTTTCATGGCAGATGATCAGAACTGCCTTAGAACTTCCCACATTTTATGTTGAATTTTAGTCATTTTATGCTTATGGCTCTGTACTCTGCATCACAATGAACAGTGACTTCTACATGGCAAATAAATTCTTATAGATTATTCTACTCTGGGCTTTTTCATTAATCTAGTAGCTGGATGAAGAATGTGCCAGAGATGGGTAGGCTAGAAGCAGTAAAGTTGGTCAGTCGGCTGTTATGATCCTTCAACCACTAGATACTTAGCACTGAACTAGCAAGCTGTCATTGACTGTTAGAAATAGTAAGAAGTGAACACGTAACATATGGCATAGACAAAAGCTAAACATTTGATTTGACTGGGGAAGAGAAAGACACTCAGAGGCTGGAATGTTGGTCTTATTTGGGAATTGCAGACAGAGGGCTGGTATGGAAGATGTAAAATTTGGATTTGTGACACGTTGAAATCTTTTGCTGATGGAAGCATTATATGGAACTGTCAACTAGCAAGTGGAAAGTATTTCTGGCAAAGATTATGAATGAACAGAATTTAAGAGCCATTTGTATGGAAATGTTGGAACTTATGGTGATATATGAGATCTCTAAGCCAGTTTGAGTGGATAGAGAGAAGTGAAGGAATGACAATGAAGAATGTTCCATTGTGTTACATATCACATTTAAAAGGGTGAGAAGGGAATAGAAAACGAAGAATGGAGAAAGATCAGGAGGGAGAAAGAAGCAGGATATACTAAAATCTCAGGCTGAGAAGTAACACTGGTAGGACAAGTAGACCTTTAGAGCGGTGGAAATAGATTTCAGGAAAGTGGAGGGAATGATGGTGAAACACTACAGCTATGGTTGCAAATGCTCACTTGAGATGTAGATAGCTCTAGAAGAAAAAAAAAAGGCTTATCATAGGCTGATAGCCAGAGCTCAAATCAAGTGGAAACAGGGTGGTATTAATGTCTCAGCAATGCAATCTTTACCCTTCTCCTCTCCCCATGGGCATTTTATTCTTTGCCCATCCCAGGTTGTCTTCAGATTTATCAGCAGTTCCCCAAGATATTGACCTCTCTAATACTGTTCTTTCTGTTCAAAATGCATCTATCCTATGTCCCACTTCTTTGGAGTGGCATTTTCCAAATGTGTTCCACAAATTATAGTTCAAAATGCTGTAGACTCCAAGAGAATACATTCTGTGACCAAGTAAGTCTGGAAAATGCCACAAAAAGTGTTACCATGCTAAATGTCCTGAGAAAATTTGATCGAAAAAAAAAATATTTTGTTTGAAGTACAAAACATTTGTTCAGAGACCTATGCCCTCTTGTTATTGCTACAAAACTCAGTGATTTCATAATATCCATGTGAGGAAACTTCCTTTAGGGTCGTGGTGATGGCTAATTTGATAAATGGCTACATGGTTTGTTGTTAATGACTATGAAAGGATAATTAACCTATTGTCAAAATGTATAATTTACCAGATAATTTAATGAGGTAATAAAAAATGTTTAGTGTGGGAAACAGTATCGTGGATGTCAAGTTGGGATAAATTTTGGGCAGTATAGTCTTTTAGAAGTCTCGAGTCACACCATTCAAGTGGATAGTGGCTACTCAATATCTACGTCAATTTTAGATCCACAGCTAAATTTGATATCCTTTTTGCTAGGGCTATTACTGTGTTTGGACCCCAAAACTTCAATCGATTTTTCATCCAGGCTGAAAAATGGAAAGGAGGTGTACAGCACCACGATGACATCTTGTGTGCTGCATTTTTACCTCCACAAACTCTTGTTACGGGTAAATTGAACTTAATCATTGGTAGAGTGGTTTGTTGTGGTTTTGCCTCAAAAAAAAAAAAAAAAAACTGCTCAATTGCTATGTGTACACACACACACACACACACACACACACACACACACACACACACGGGTATTTTGAGATGGGGTCTCACTCTGTCACCCAGGCGAGAGTGCAGTGACCAGGTCTCAGCTTACTGCAACCTCCGCCTCCCAGGCTCAAGTGATTCTCCCACTTCAGCCTCCCGAGTAGCTGGGACCATAGGTATGCCTATCATGCCTGGCTAATTTTTTGTATTTTTATTAGAGATGAGGTTTTGCCATGTTGTCCAGGCTGGTCTCAAACTTCTAAGCTCAAGCAATTCACCTGCCTCCACCTCCCAAAATGGTGGGATTACAGGTGTGAGCCACTGTGCCTGGCCATATATTTTTCAACTTATGTATAATTATGTGTCATTCATGTTTGTGGGGCATGTTTCAATACATGTATAGATTGTGCAATGATCAAATGGTAAACAGCACATTAATAAACACATCTTAGTGATGAGAACATTAATTTTTCTAGCTATTTTGAAGTATACAATACATTGTTAACACTAGTCATCCTGCTATGCAGAAGACCAGAACTTATTCCTGTCTAACTGTAGCTTTTCATCTGTTGACCAATCTCTCACCCTCACCCCTCCCATCTCCCCTCCCCATCCTCTGGTACTCACTATTCTACTTTTGTGAGAATAACTTTTTGGATTCCACAAGTGATATCTCATGTGATTTGTATGTGCTTGGCTTACCTCACCTAACAATTTCCTCCGGGTTCATTTGTGTTGCTGTAAATGGCAAGATTTTATTCATTTTATGGCTGAATAGTATTCCATTGTGTATATATACCACAGTTTCTTTATTCCTTTATTCATTGATGGACATTTAGGTTGATTTTCTATCTTGGCTATTGTGAATAATGCTGCAGTAAACATAAGGATGCAGATCTCTTTTCAACATGCTGATTTCATTTCCATACCCAGTAGTGGTATTTCTGGATCATATGGTAGTTCTATTTTCAATTCCTCCATAAAGGCTTGTTTTAAAGTCATTTTCCATAAAGGCTATACTAATTTACATTCCCACCAGCCATATGTAAGTGTTCCCTCTGTTTCTTATCTTCACCAATACTTTAATCTTTCGATTTTCTGATAGGAGCCATTCTGACTGGAGTGAAGTGATGTCTCACTCAGGTTGTTTTGATTTGTATTTCACTGATAATCAGTTGGACATTTTTTTCAAATGTCTGTTGGCTACTTGTATGTCTTCTTTTGAGAAATGTTTATTCAGGTATTTTGTCCATTTTAAAATCAGGTTTTGTTGCTGAGTGTTTGATTTTCTTGTATATTTTGGATATTAGCCCCTTATAGTATCAGATGTATTGTTTGCAACTACCTTCTCCCATTTTGTCTCTTTGCTCTGTTGATAGTTTGCTTTGAACATGAGATTTTTGAAGAAGCAATGCTTGCTCTTAGTCCTTATTTCTAGGGAAATGTATTGGTAGTTCCGATTATCGGCTCCTATGCCTGGCTGGCTGACTTCCCATCACTGTTCCACCAATTGCCACAACATGATGAACAAGTTATTTAAACTCTAAATCATAGTTTTGTCTGGCTAATATATCTATATTTTGGTTTATAGTACAGATTATCTGTGCAAGGGTTTAACATGGTGCTCAGCATACAATAAGCTCATCCATAAATATTAGGTTTGATTTGTACTGTCCATTTTCCAGGAGCAGCATTAGGGCTTTTGGGTACGAATCACACATTGGTGGCACTTAGATGTTTCATAATGTGAACATATTAACTGTTTGGCATAATTTAGCTGAGATAATATTGACAAAAGTCTGTCCTCACAAAATGTCTATAAATCCAAGCTCTTAAAATGATTCATAGGCATGCTTTGATGTGGCATATTAAGAATAAAAAATTGTTGTATCATTTCTGGCCAAAGAATGCAATTTATAGAGACAGATTGCACCATGAAAATTTCAAATCCATATTTTGACAGCTGAATTTTTTTATAGAACCAAAAATGTCATCAATTAAGAGGAATGAAAACTTACAGAAAAAGATCCAGGGTATCTATGAAGTGTTACAATATGAGGTTTACTGATCTATCTACATCTGAAGTTCCTTTGTTTTCAGTACTAACCAAATTACTTTCTAGTAAGGCCAACTCTGTAGGTAGATTAGCTTTACAGCGACTGGAAGGCCACTCCTGCAGGGAAGATCACATCCTGAAATGTGATGGACACTGAAGTATAAAACGGCATGTTTGTTATTGTAAAAATATTAGTAAATGCCATTGTATTGGTAGACAATCTCTTCCCTCATTCTCATCCCAGTCTTATGTGGAAATGTTTGGTCAATCACTGCTAGTAAAGCATAGGAGAAGACAGATATGTCTATGGACAGCTGAACACCATTCCCTTGGTGCAATCTGAGTTGCACAGATTGCTCTTTCTAGGACAATACAAAGTTTAGTGTGTATTTCTCTCTCCTCTCCCCGAATCCTAAAAGTCACCATTTGCACATCCTACCCAAACGTTTCTTCTGTTATTCTTGCCACAGACACTCTGCACAGTGGGTAGGTGTCCTAACCAAGCCACTGAAAACAATGGTCTGGATATGGCTGGATTGTTCCTTCACAATACGTGGTTGCTTAGACTATCTCCCTAGTTGGGCTTTTCTGTTGTGTGAAAACAGTACTGAAAGACTTTCTGTAGGAAAAACTTCGGGGTCGGAGAAAGCAATATTTAATAAAGAATATAGGAGAAAAGGAATGAAGAGAAGACACACCCCCACCCACCCACATACACACACAAGAAGGGGTGTGGGAAACAGAAAACATAGGACTTGATTTACCTGCCCTTAACCAATATACTTAACACTTTTTCCAGTACTTACAATATGCTCAGTACTATTGTAAGTACTTTCATTTTTTACAATAACCCTGAGGTAAATATAATTATTACCTTTATAGATGAGAAAATCATGGCATCAAGTATAGTTAAATAACATGCTCAAGATTACAAATGGCAGAAGCAAGACTCAAGCTCCAGTTTAACTACAAAGCATCTTTTCTGAATGCTTTATTACTGTAAAATAAAAGGAAATAGTAATTTCTACACACCTGTGCTCAGGTTATACTGTGGAGATTGTAAGCTCTAAAGTTAATACAAATACCAATTATTCATGTTTCTAAAAATATAGAGTGCCCACTATGTGCAATATTCTGTGTAAGGTATATTGCTAATAACTTTGAATTGCTGTTGCTCATATTTTCTATCGCCTCCTGGCAATTTATATCTTCCATCCTGTCTTGTGTAGGGAGTTATGATGGATAAATTGTTCTATGGAACAATAGCACAGAAAAGGCTCATCATGTTCTTCACCCCAATTATCAGAGATTGCTAACATCAAAATTAGGTAAGTGAGTTTGAAACTAAAATAACATGGCTAGTCAATTCACAGTAGGCCTGGTTGTTCATGCATGTGCCTGATGCAACCTGCTCCTAAATCATAAGTGATTGGCTATAAGCACGAAGGATTAGGGATATCATTGTCTTGTCAAAGTGACTAAAGAGAACCTTGAGATTTACTTGGCTTAGCAAATTCTGCATGGCATGCCATTTCTTCTTTATGCTACATCAGCATTTCTGAATTACTGACAGCAGGGAGCAAGACTCATTTTTATTTAGTTTTTTCTAATAAACCTTATCAAATTACCTAAGCGTGAACTTGGGTACCCCTTAAGAAAATGGGAATTCATGTTCACTCGACAGGCTGTTCAGACTCAATCTAGAGCTTGTAATACATATTATGCCACCTGGCAATCTTAAATTATTTCTTGCTTTAGAAACCCATGAGGAGCATTAGATGGGAGTATATTGTATTTTATGGGAGTTTAGCAGAGCACATGGATATTTTATACTTAAGTGAAATGTCTTGACAATTGCCTTTCACATTTTTTCCCAGTTTCCTTAGATACTAAAGGTTTTTCTTTAGACTAATTTATTTTGGTAATGAATATGCCCTTCCTCATGGTCCAGTGAGGTTCTGTTGTCTCAGCTGAATAAATTCAGAGGCGGAATTGAACTTTATAAATGAACTGGTCATCAGATGCAGTTTTTTGGTGAAAAGCAGAGAAGCAATTTTATTAAGTGTAGGAAAACAAACTTGAGATATAGGGGATAACTCGGCTGTAAACACAAAGTGCTGACCTGCTTTACATACACAGAACTCATCGTTTTAGGATTCATTTGAACCTGCCGTGAAGAGGTTGGAATTCTACCTCTTTCTCTACACTAGGTTTTAGGATACACAGAAAAGTGAATAAATATCAAAATTCTAAGACATTAAAATCATTGCAATAGATTTCTCATTTTGAAAACACGTCTGGATTTTTCGTAACTATGTGCAGACTGTTCATAGATGGAGATGAATGTCCCCAGTTTTCACTAGTAGGGCCTAGAGATGTTATTAGATGATTGAAGTATGCTTAGAAATGTTTTCTCCAGAGTAATAGTACTGTTAAAAAGGCTCATTTAATTAAACAGCCATTAGAGCTCATGTTCATTATATTTCCAAGAATTTGGGTAAGTTGAAAACGCCATGATATTGGAATCACATTTGTATTGGAGGATCACTAAGTTGTTAGAATTGACTCTAATATTAAGTTCTTGCTTAATTCATATCAAGTGAAAACATAGCAAGTGAGTATGGAATATAAAAAACAAAAAGTCAAACAATTCAAGTTGGGGTTAAGAAAAAGAGGGCTTGATGGATGTTGACTGAAGTCTATTGTGAGACTTGGTGGAGTCACTGGAGATAGTGATAGATGTGGGCCTGTTTCCTAGACACTGGTTTGAAAAGCGTATTTTTCTTCATTCATATACCCTGCTTTGTCTCCATCACAGATACAAAACCTCGAGAACTTCTCACTCCTGGGAGAAGCCACTCCACCCACCCCATGGCAGACCACTCTGCCATGGGAGTCCAAGACTTTGAGATTGACACTGAGGGCAAAAATGCTGTTACGCGGCTTTGCTTCCTTAAAGCAAGAAAAAACACTGCAGTGACAGGTAAAATATAGATTTACATTTACATGCAGTTGGAAAGGGAGAAATAAAGAAAATTCAATCTATTTCTACTAGATCTTGCACAATTTGACTGCATAGTAGCTAACTAATCAGTACTGTGTCATGTAAGGTCAGACAATGGCAAGGAAGCTGCAGTTGAAGAGGATGGGTCCGAGAGCAGGAGCCAGACTACAGCTCGCTACTAATTTATCCAGTGTTGTATACGTCAAGATCAGGGTAAGAAAAAATTTGACAAATGGTTGGATATAGGCAACAATCAGAATTCTTGTTCCAGCCATGGCATAAAGAGATTTTCTTAGAGTAGGGACACAGCAAGATGTATGCCAAAGTCAAAGCTTAAGTCCACATACAGCAGAAAAGTTGTGTCTGAGACTGACTATAGGAGCACCTGATCAAAATAGGCTGGAAGAGAATGAGAAGCATGGAGGTTAAGAACAGTAACAGAATTTGAAAGAATTGCTAATCCCAGGACAAGAGCTGCCTGCTTTCTTCTGTTCTTAAGTATTGGTTATGTCTTCTGCTTAGATGTATACTAACATTGATGCTATTTTATGACTTACTGTAGTTATTTGATGTTATATAAACGAAATAGCCATTTGCTTAATTTTTTTCCCTGTTGTCAATAGCAATATTAGCATGGTTTTGATGCAACCTGCATCTTTCCAAAGTGAAAACCTTCTTTGGAGAATACATACCTTTTGACCTTTCATCTAAAATAAGAATCGTATCTTAAAGTTATTTCTTAGCACTAGGAATCTAGACGTGTATGTGTTTGAAAAGGAAATAAACATATCAATGTTTATTATTTCCCATAATTTACTGATGAAAAATCTAATTTTCATGTGAAATTTTTCATCATTAAGAATCAATAAAGGTATAGTTTAAAAACATTCTGGGATGTTTAGAATAAGCTTTGAAAGAATTAGATTCTAAAACTTTCCATTTTCTAGAACTTGCTTATACTTACAACATGAATTTTCCAGAAATTACTCTCATTTCCTCAATTTTTATTAATGTTCAGTATTCAGACTGTTTTCACTGTAGCAGCTACACATTATTTCTACCTTAAATAAATATGATTGTTAATTGGCAGTACATTTGTAAGCAAATTGGAAGTCATCTACTGATTTAACAAATAGGAATTTTGCCGTGGAAGAATAACTTAGGTAAGGTGCTTTAACAAAGCATATAAAAATGGAAAATCAGATTAGTTCTAGGCTTATTCACCAAAATAAGATTTTGTAGGCCGGGCATGGTGGCTCACATCAGTAATACCAGCACTTTGCGAGGTCAAAGTGGGCGGGTCACGAGGTCAGGAGATCTAGATCATCCTGGCCAATATGGTGAAATCCATATATACTAAAATACAAATTAGCCAGGCATGGTGGTGCGCACCTGTAGGCCCGGCTACTTTGGAGGCTGAGGCAGAGGTTGCATTGGGCCAAGGTCACACCTCTGCACTCCAGCCAGGTGACAGAGCAAGAATCCATCTCAAAAAGTTAAGGTTTTACAATGAATTATTTTTGATGAAAAAGTTTAAAGCTCACAAATAGAATTCTAAGCATGCTGCAAAATGGAGAAATAGCTGTGCTACCACTGTGTGTATTTATGTATTCCATCCAAATCTGTACATGAGAACTTTTACTTGTGGATGTCCAATGCATTATTAGGAAGGTGAATTTTATGTAATGAGCTCATGTTGGAATATTTCATGTTTATCTGAAGAAACTAATATATCTAACTTACCCAAACATCAGAATAAACCCCCAAAGAAAAGGGAGCTAACTAATGAAACATTCCAATATTCTATCTCATTTAATACTCAAAGCAGTGAGGTTATCATGGGGTTACAATTTTATATTTGAGAAAATTAAAGTGGTGCTGGGAATTGACCTCAGAGCTACTCCAACATATTTTATGCTTTCCACAGGGAAAGCCATTAAAGTTATTTCTGTTATTCATTGTTCAATTTTCTGGTTAGATTTTTTCCTTACATGTTAGGAGGAGCTAACCTGGTATCATGTGGAGGATCTGGTTATGTCAGATTTTGGGATATACATAAGAAGCAACTTCTGGCTGAATTTTTGGCTCATAGTGGAGTTGGATTGATTATGTCTACTAATAAGATTAATCGATACCTTGCCACAGGAGATCTTGATGGATGGTTGAAAATCTGGAATATAGAGGTAAATCGAAAAACAAATTACCACATCACCTTTATGATTTGATGGTCTTTGTTGCAGGTAACCGAATTAGGTCTTGCCCGTTTCCTAAATAAGAATGTAATGTTTTCTTTAAAATGCTTAGACAAGTTTCATGAAGAGACTTTTTAAATAATTGATGAGGAAAATATTCTTAATATTGACAACCTTCTGTTAAATCAGTCATCCAATTTAGAAATGTAGTATTGTTAGTAAGGCATTGGAGCATTATTTGAAATGTAAATTAGTATCTCTTAATTTTTCTGTATTCGTTTTTATTTGAGACAGGATCTCCCTCTGCCACCTAGAGTACAGTGGTATGATTATAGTTGTCTGCAACCTCAAACTCCTGGTTCAAGCCATCCTCCCACCTCAGCCTCCTGAGTAGCTGGGACTACAGGCATGTTCCACTATACCCAGATAATTATTTTTGTAGAGACAGTGTCACTATGTTGCCTAGGGTGAGGCTACATCTTATTTGCAATGAGGCTGTAAACGTAATTTAAATAGAGAACTATTCCTTCATCTGACATTGTTACCGAGTTATTTTTTTTTTTGCGTTTTTAAAAAATCACCGATTACCTGCTACATTTTCTAGTATTTAAAAGTTGTATATGTGACCACCTATGTGGTAAAGTTCATCTCTATCCAATAACTGACTTTACTATTTTTCTTTCCTTCTTTCCTCACTACTTCCTTTCTACTTCAAGTAGTCAGATAAGTTAGAAATATTTTAAATTTTTATTTTTCTAGCCTCTTATCATGAACTTTCCTTTTGCATTTGGATCCCAGGGTTATTGTTCAAGTTTTAAAATCTGCTTTTTAAAAAAGTTATGTCATTGTAATAATTTCATATTTGGATATTTTAGAGTTTTGCTATTTCTTTTCATTCAGGAGTACTGTCTTAATTCCAGTCAGAACAAAATCACCAAGGCCACAACTCTGATAAGATCATTCCAGCCTCATAAGGGCCAGATAAGTTCCTTAGAGATATGTGAACTGGGTGGTCAGTTACCGATGATCATCTCCTCCTCTGCAGACTGCGGCATTTGTGTGACTGGTGTCTGCAATGCTCCTGTTTGGATCTTTGGCCAGGTAGAAATATTTATTATTCTCGTATTTACTTGACATTTAGTATTAACTTGGGCTGTTTTCTATTTGAATCTCATCAGCTGTTTATCGTTCATTAGTCAAAGAACTGACAGCATTCCTGAAGCAGTAGCTCCAGGCGACTCGTCCCATTTTCCGTTTACCAGGACAGTTTCATCAAGCAGAAGACACCAGAGACATGGAAATATGGGGGCTCTGTGCAGCTCAAAATATTCCAGCATTTGAGAAAATTCTCAAATTCCTTCAATTTCAAAATTTAGTAAAAATGTGGATAAAATGAACATGTTAAGACAGGTGACTGTTAACTAAGAATGTATTAATCAAATGTAGAAAGTTGTAGGAAAAAAAATCATCCTATTATCTGGTTTACTGCTACCAAATATTAACATTTACCAAGTTTTTGTGTACCTGGGGCACTGGTCTAAAATTTTTCCAAGAACTCATTTAATCTTCATAATTGCTAAACCCAGGAGGGAAGAGCTCTAGCAATTTTCATTTTACAGATGAGGAAACAGAGGCAGAGTTTGAATAATTTGCCTGAGTTCACAGAACTCAGGGTGGTAGAGTTTGGCTTTTAACTCAAGTTGGGTCATTTTGGGGCTCATATTTTTAACTCCTTTCTCTGATGAAAGTTAGATCTGGCTTGCTCCCGACTATGAAATGAAATAGAAGTGGGAGGCATAGAAAAAAAAAAAAAAAAGTCTTATTTTCTGGTTTTTTTTTTTTTTTTTTTTGCAATCCATCTGACAAAAGTCTAATATCCAGAATCTACAAGGAACTTAAGCAAATTTACAAAAAAAAACCCAACCTTTTCCAAAAGTGAGTGAAGTATATGAACAGACAGTTCTTAAAAGACATTTATGTGGCCAAAAAACATGAAAAAAAGCTGATCACCACTGGTTGTTAGAGAAATGGAAATCGAAACCATGTTGAGATACCATTTCATGCCAGTTAGAATGGCGATCATTAAGAGTCTGGAAACAGCAGATACTGGAGAGGATGTGGAGAAATAGGAACACTTTTACACTGTTGGTGGGAATGTAAGTTAGTTCAACCATTGGGAAAGAGTGTGGCGATTCCTCAAGGATCTAGAACCAGAAATACCATTTGACTCAGCAATCCCATTACTGGTATATAGCCAAAGGATTATAAATTATTCTACTATAAAGACACATGCACATGTATGTTTATTACAGCACTATTTACAATAGCAAGGACTTGGAACCAACCCAAATGCCCATCAATGTTAGACTGGATCAAGAAAATGTGGCACATACACACCACAGAATAGTATGCAGCCACAAAAAAGAACGAATTCACGTCCTTTGCAGGCACATGAATGAAGCTGGAAACCGTCTTCAGCAAACTGACACAGAAACAGAAAACCAAATACCACATGCTCTCACTAATAAGTGGAAGTTGAACAATGAACACATGGACACAGGAAGGGGAACATCACACTGGGGCCTGTCAAGGGGTGGGGAGAAAGGGGAGGGAGAATAGGACAAATATGTAATGTATGCAGAGCTTAAAACCTAGATGAGTTGATAGGTGCAGCAAACCACCATGGCACATGTATACCTATGTAACAAACCTGCATGTTCAGCACATGTATCCCAGAACTTAAAGTGGGGGGAAAAAAAACATGTCATTCCTTAAGAGTAACTATGGCCTCTGTGTAAAATGGGTTTTTAATTCATTGTAGTTCCCGATTTTCTTTATTGCATTAAATACTAAGGATGAGTTTTATTTACTGTTTATTACTCATTTATTTTCTTGTGTTAGGCTAGATTTATTCATTGATATTTGCCTGGCAGTCTAGTAGGCATTTTATTCTGCAAACACTTATGTCAAGGCTGATCAATTTGCACACCAGCCAATTATCTGCAGGAAGCCTATAGCTCCCCTCATCTCACAGGCTGCATTATCTGGAACCTTCTGTATGCATGAAGTGAATTGATATAAGAAAATCGGTTCCGTATTTAAAACAAAGTAGATTGTCAGTGGGGAACTTTTGCTAGATGAATGCATTTTGAGAAGTGTAGCCAAAATCTGAAAATTACATGACATTTTTTAGAAAACGATATTTAATAACTGAACTGAGTTTTGAAAACATTTTAAGGAGGTAATATGCAAAGAAAATAGTTGAGGGAAAATTGTGACAATTTAACAAAAGTTTTGTTTTTGGTAATACGTATCTGGCTATTCAGAATTTTAAAGTGGGAATAGTAAAATATTTCTTGTAGTTCGTTATCTCTTCATGATTATTTCTTTTAACACATCTCATTTTCTATCTTTATTAAAGGTACATGAGTCATTTCCCCTGTAAAATTGTAAGCTTCTTGGACAGAAGTCACATCTTTTTCACCTTTTTTTGTGCCCCGCCCCAGGACTTTAATTAGTAAACCAGCACATTTAAACACATACATGTTTGAAGAAAATATTGAATAAAACAGATGTTTTTATTTTTTCAGGCAAAGCACTGGCATATTGAAAACTGCCTTTTCCTTCCTAAAAGAGATGCTAATTCAGTGGAAAGTGAGATTCAAAAGGAAATTTGTTTTCTAAGGAGGAATCTTATTTAGACTCAACAGAACATTCTCTACCTAATTAAAAAAAAAAAAAGATGATTCAGCATACAAGTAAGTTTGAACATTAAGCCAAATGTCAACTGGAATAAGATTGGTCCAAACTTCCTTCTCTCCTCTATGGAATGTTCAATGACTACCTCAAGATTTCTCCAAAATCTAGGAGATCCGTAGGTATGTATGGACAAGTGGCTTGTATTATCAGGGTCATAGCTGGTTCTTATTTCTCGACTAGATTGAATTCTTAATTTGTATTAAGTGCCATCTAGTCTTATTTCTACTCCAACAATCTAATTGTGAAAATCGGCCTCTTTCTTGAAAAACAATGTATCTGTCTTAGAATGCATATCAGATTTTACTCCTGGTTTTGATAAAGGGCTCAGGGTTTGTTTGACACAATTTCAAAGAACTTAACTTTGAAGTTAGACATCACTCCCTTAAGGCTTCTAGTCCTTCAGTGTTGCTCAGATTTTCTTCACATCCATTTGCTAGATCGAGTTTACACCCCATTTGTGCTCTCATGTCAAGGAGTTTAGCAAAATAGAAAACAAAACTAAACTATGATCTCATAATTTAAACTTTCCATGCTAAATGACTTTTATTCATGTAGAGATAGATATCTGAGCCTATTACTTGAATAAAAATATTTTGGTGCTTTTATTATCTGTTCCACCTAAGGAAAGAAATGGGCTTTACAGAGCTGACAAGAAAATAGTTCTAAATCTCTCATCATGCTGCATTTCAATGCTTCTGTCATCTATGTTAAACTGGTAACACACCAGAGAACTTTTTTCTTCTTCCCGTTAACTCACTAGTCAGTTTTCCTTTCATTGAGGATATAAAGAGGGGATGGGAAGAAAAAAGGTAGCATTGCTGTTCTTGAGGCTTGGCAGATGTGCAAAGCATACTCCTTTTCCCGGTGGTACAGCTGAGGATTCTTTGATGACCCCACTTGGACTTTTGAATTGCACATTTCCAAACTCACGAACTCTTTGGCTAGTTTCTTACGGCTCACCTCCTCCAGCTCATGCCCCTTGTAATACACATCCCAATGTTTTCCTGTTACAGTCCTAGACATTGCCAAGTCTTCCCTCTTGCACAACTCCTGGTTTAACTTCTACTTGGCCTGCGGGAAACTAACATTTTGCAACACCAACGTTTCCACTCTTACTCGGCTGCCCATGCAGCACGATGTACAGCTTTTGTAAACTTCAGGTGTTAATGAGACACAGGACTGCTAGGTCCCTCTTATTGTAACCATAGAGGACATATAAAAAGCTATTTGGGCTACGTGAATGGAGGCTAGAAAAAGAAAAGCTTTCCTCCCCTCCCATGGGAGTGGGTCTCAATTCACACTTAAGACTCTCTGATGCAATTAGCCCTTAGAGTTTCCGCATCCTTTATATCTTACTGTGATAGTTGGCTTAAGTGTCACAAGACCAGTTTTGGAGCTAACCTTCTTGGCAAAGCGACCCTGCAGCCAAGGAGCTTACCACCTCATTTTGAAATGTAGAAATACTGTTGTATTAAACATCCCAAATTATTTTGCTTTCAAAGTTTTTGAATCTGACAAAAAAATTTCTCTTTAGCATTCTGTTATGCTAAATTACTTTGGTATTTGTTCTTCCATTTTCTTGAGTTATGGCTTGCAGAAATGTCAAGTGGCATTTTACATTTAGGCAGGAGGATATTTTCAAATTAGAAATCTAGCATGAGCAATTCTGTACAATCATAGAATGCTGGGAATGGAAAGACTACATAGGATAAAATGTCCCCACCCACCTACCCTACTCAACCTTACAAATGAAAAAATAAAGTTACCTCAGGGTAACACATATAGATCATTTTTTTTCCTGTTTCCATCACATGCACAGAATAATGAAGGCAATTGTTACAGATTGCCATTTAGGAGTATTTCAGCCAATATACTAATTTCCAATTCCTTATGACAAACTCAGTTATCCTTTAAACATTTTTGAGACTTACTTTGTTGCCCAGCTGAAGTGCTGTGGTGCAACCACAGCTCACTGCAGGGTCAACCTCCCTGCCTCAAGCAATCCTCCCACCTCAGCCTCCCAAGTAGCTGGGACTGCAGGCATGCTACCACATCCAGTTTATACACACACACCCCTATATGTTTTTCAGATAGGGTTTCATCATGTTGCCCAGGCTGGTCTTGAACTTCTAAAGTTCAAGTGATCCTCCTGCTTCAACCTCTCAAAGTGCTGGTATTACAGGTGTGAGCCATCATTCTGTCCTAAACATTTTTTTAAGCCCATCTTTTCCTAGATTCAAACATTGAAAATTTGCTGCTTACTTCTTCCCTAGTATTCTTTGATGGTTGGTTGTGTTTCTGTGGGGCCAATGGTGATATCCCCCCTTTATTTTTTTTATTGTATCTATTTGATTCTGTCTTTTCTACTTTACTAATTTAGCTATCTATTAATTTTTTCAAAAAACTACTTTCTGGATTTGTTGGTATTTTGAAAGATTTTTTTTTGTGTGTGTTTCTATCTCCTTCAGTTCTGCTCTGACCTTGGTTATTTCTTGTCTTCTACTAAGCTTAAGGCTTCGTTTGCCTTTGATTCTCTAGTTCATTAGGTGTGATGTTACGATGTTGATTTGAGATCTTTCTACCTTTTTGATCTGGGCATTTAGTGCTATAAATTTCTCTTAACACTGCTATTTAGCTGTATCCCAGAGATTTTGGTACATGGCCTCTTTGCTCACATTAGTTTCAAGGAACTTCTTAATTTCTGTCTTAATTTCACTAATTATCCGGGAGTCATTCAGGAGCAGTTTGTTCAACTTCTATGTAATTGTATGGCTTTTATGGAGTTTAATACCGAGTTCTAATTTAATTGTGCTGTGGTCTGAGACTTATGATTTAAGTTCTTTTGCATTTGCTGAGGAGTGTTTTAATTCCAATTATGCCATCAATTTTAGAGTAAGTGCCATGTGGCACCAAGAATGTATATCCTGTTATGTTTGGGTGGAGAGTTCTGTAGATCTCTATCAGTTACACTTGATCTAGAGCCGAGTTCAAGCCCCGAGTATCTTTTACACTTTGTCTCGATCTAATATTGACAGTGAGGTGTTAAAGTCTCCCACTATTATTGTGTGGGAGTCTAAGTCTCTTTGTAGGTCTTTAAGAACTTGTTTTATGAATCTAGGTTGTCCTGTATTGGGCGCATAGGTATTTAAGATAGTTAGCTCTTCTCATTTAATTGAACTCTTTACCATTATGTAATGCCTTTTTAAACCAAGAAAGATTTTAAAAAGAAATTTTGTCAGAAACTAGGATTGCAACCCCTGCTTGTTTTCTGCTTCCCATTTGCTTGGTAAAATGTCTTCCATTCCTTTGAGTCTTTGCATGCGAGACACATCCTTTGACTACAGCATACCAATGGACTTTTACTCTTTACGCAATTTGCCATTTCATGTCTTTTAATTGGGGCATTTAGCCCATTTATATTTAAGGTTGACATTGTTGTGTGTGAATTTGATTGTCTCCATGATGCTGGCTATTTTGCAGACTTAATGTAGTTGCTTCACAGTGCCATTGGTCTGTGTACTTCATTGTGTTTTTTGTACTGGCTGATAATGGTTTTTCAGTTTCATCTTCAGTACTTCAGGAGCTCTTGCAAGGCAGGCCTGATGGTAATGAATTCCTTCAACATTTGCTTGTCTGAAAAGAATCTTATTTCTCTTTTGCTCATGAAGCTTAGTTTGGCTGGATATCCAGTTCTGGATTGGAAATTCTTTCAAGAATGTCAAATATTGGGCCCTCCAATCTCCTTCTGGTTTGTAGGGTTTCTGCTGAGAGGTCTGTTAGTCTGATGAGCTTCCCTTTGTAAGTGACCTGGCCTTTCTCTCTAGCTACCCTTTACATTTTTTCCTTCATGTCAATTTTGGAAAACCTGATTCTGTATCTTGGGGTTAATCTTTTCATGTAGTATCTTACTTGGGGGTTCTCTGGACTTCTTGAATTTGAATGTTGGCCTGTCTTGCTAGTTTGGGAAAGTTCTCCTGGATGACATTCTGAGTGTTTTCTCCAACTTGTTTCCATTCTCTTACAGGTATCCTAATCAGTCGTAGGTTCGGTCTTTTTACATAATCTCAGTTCCTGGAGGTTTTGTTCTTTTTCATTCTTTCTCTAGTCTTGTCTGCTTGTCTTATTTCAGCAAGACAGTCATCAAGCTCTGAAATTCTCTCTGCTTGGTGTATTCAGCTGCTGACACTTGTGATTGCATTGTGAAGTTCTCTTGTGTTTTTCAGCTCCTTCACATCATCTGTTTCTTTCTAAACTGGTTATTCTGGTTAACAGCTCCTATAACGTTTTATTGAGGTTCTTAGTTTCTTTGCATTGTGTTAGAACACTCTTAGCTCAGTAAAGTTTCTTATTACCCACCTTCTGAAGCCTGCTTCTATTAATTCATCCATCTTAGCCTCAGCCCAGTTCTGTGCCCTCTGGAGAGGTGTTGCAATCATTTGGAGAAGAGGCCCTCCGGCTTTGAGTTTTCAATGTTTTTGTGGGGATTTTTTCTCATTTTTGTGGGTTTATCTACTTTTGATCTTTGAGGCTCCTGACCTTTGGATGAGGTTTTGTGGGGCCTTTGTTGACGATGTTGTGTTCTGTGTGTTTTTCCTTTAACAGTAAGTCCCCTCTTCTGCAGGTCTGTTGCAGTTTGCTGGGGCTCCAACTCCAGACTTTTTGCCTGGGTCCCTCCTACACCTGCAGGGATCACCAGTGGAAGCTGCAGAAGAGCAAAGGTGACTGGCCATGCCCTCCTCTGGGAGCTCCATGCCAGAGGGGCACCAATGTGATGCCAGTGGGAACTCTGCTGTATGAGGTGTCTGGTGACCCCTGTTTGGAGGTCTCACCCAGTTAGGAGGCACGGGATCAGGGACTCAATGAAGTACTCTGTCCCTTAGCAAAGTGGGTGTGCTACAGTGGCAGGAATCCCACTTGTCTGGACTGTTTCGATTCCTCAGAGCCAGCAGAAGGAAAGACTAAGTCCACTGAACCAGAGACTGTGGCCACTCCTTCTCCTAGAGGCTCCATCCCAGGGAAATCAGAGTTCTGTCTGTAAACCCCTGACTGGAGTCGTTGAAGTTACCACAGGGAGGCCCCACCCAAAGAGGAGGGGTGGATCCGGGTCCCACCTAAAGAAGCAGTCTGGCCATGATCTGCCACAGCCACGGTGATGCAGTGGGGAATTCTTTCCAGACCAAACAACCCAGTTTCCCCAGTACTGGCAAGGGAAAACAGCTGATTGAAGCCACAGTGATGGTGACCGCTGCTACCTCTGGAAACTTGGTTGTTCTTAGGCAGTCTCCAGCATACTGCCATTGCTGGCTGTAACCCAAGCAGCCACTGAGAGTCTGCACAGTTCTGTGCTTGGAACCCAAGGCCCTGGTAGTGTGGGCTCATGAGGTGATCTCATCTATGCGTTGCACAGATCCGTGGATAAAACATGGTTTCCCTGGTGGGATAAGCTCACTCACCCACCAATGTGTGTTAAAATTCAGATTTCTCTTAAAACTGAAGCTCTGTTCTCTGCCAGGTTAAATAGGAGTACAGCAAACTGATCTTCCCATGTTGATTATAATCTTATCTAGGCACTGGTGGACTTCCAGGGATGAGAAGCAAAGTTATTTCTACTAGACAGTATTTTGTACAATGAAAAAGTATTAAAAAGTACTTGTGATTAATATTTGTCTAATTCAGATGACTGGATTAATATAATTGAGACTCTGGTAATGAGATAGTACAGAAGAATGTCATTTAGGAATTTTTAAACTAATTTTTTAAAAAAGGATTAAAAACATCCTCAGAACTGATCATGTACATCCTTCAGTTCCCTCAGGAACATGAACAGGAATCCTTTGCAGAAAACATGCAAGCATAATAAAGTTGTCAGCTGTACAATGTCCTTTGTGCTTTCTAATAGACGATATTCTAAATCACTAGTATTTTTCTGAATAACGTGTCCCTTTACGTAATCAGATTGGTAAGTTCAAGGAATCATGCTAGCTCTCATCCACAAAGAAGTGTGAAATAACTTAGAAAAAAGGAGAAAAAGTATATTAGTATGTATATGCAGGTGGGGGTGGAGGTGTATGGAGGGCATACATAGGAAGATGAAGGAAAGCAGAAAAAGTCTAAAGAAAATGGAAGCAGGGAAGAGGAAGAAAAAAATTAAGTGCCTTAAAGCTATTCCCATTTTAACACCTAAGATTCTTTCTGGGTTAAAGAGTTTGGGTATACCACATATTCTCACTCATGAGTGGGTGTTGAACAATAAGGACACATGGATACAGGGAGGGGAACATCATACACCAGGACCTGTTGGTGGCTAGGGGAGTATGGAAGGGATAGCAGAGGGAAGGGGGATTGGGGAGGGATAACATTAGGAGAAATACCTAATGTAGATGATGGGGTGAGAGATGCAGCAAACCACCACGGCACGTGTATACCTATGCAACAAAGCTGTACATTCTGCACATGTACCCCAGAACTTCCAGTAAAAAAAATTGGGGTGTATATTTAACTTATACAAACATACCTAGGTTTTCACAGGGCTGAAAGTATATTATTTGTGAGAAGTAGCTAGATAGTAAAGAGTTATCTTCAGTTTAAGTCCTGGGGAGATGAATATAGAACTTGAGATTAATAGAAAGGCCCAATTCTAAGTTAACAATTGATAGAGAAATAGATTGATCCTTTTCCTAGATTCTGCAAAACTCATACTAGCTTTAGGAAATTTTTAAATAAATGAAGGGATAAAATAGTAAACCAGAACTACAGTACACATTTTTCCTAGTTTACAGCAATATTTTTCTGGACTCATGTAAAATTATTCTAATCTAGAAAAGCTGTAGATAAAATGAGTATTTTGGAAAATAGTTTCAGAATAATTATGAAAGTAATATTGGAATTACAGGCATCTGCCACCATGCCCAGCTAGTTTTTGTATTTTTAGTAGAAATGGGGTTTCACCATGTTGCTGGGCTGGTCTGGAACTTCTGACCTTGTGATCCACCTGCCTCAGCCACCCAAAGTGCTCGGATTACAGACGTGAGCCACTGCGCTTGGCCAAAAGTAATATGTTTCAATTACCGGAAAATTTGGAAGTGCAAATTAGTAAGCTATGCAATTATCTGTGGTAAAACCATTGTTAACATGAGGCATTTCACTCTTAAGACCTTGTTTTAGGCAAATGTATAAAAATGAAAAAAATGTACATTTTATAAAAATGCGGGCTTAAGACAGTTTATAATCCGTTTTATCACTAAAAAAGACAGTGAGCATATTCATATTAGTTAATATGAGTATCCATGGACAACATTTATGATGACTTCCTAAGAATTTATCATGTAGTTTTTCAACTTTTCAAATATGTAGATTGTTTACAAATTTTAACTGGGAAAACACTTTAAATACCTTAATGTGCACATAGAATATCTTACTGAATTCATCATTAGAATAAATTGTTTGAAGAGGAATTGTCAAGTCAAAAGGCATGAAGGCCTTTGGGTCATCTTGCTAAAGATCATTTTGTTGTCTGGACATACCAGCTCTTTCACCAGCAGCAATACAGATGGTTGCTTTCCTGCCTTTGAACCAAAAACGGATGTTATTGCCGTCTTAAAACTGTTGCCATGATCTTGTTTTAAATTGAAGTTTTTGATTATTGGTGAAAGCAAACATTTTTCAGGTTTATTAACCTTTAACATAAACAAATTTGAAAGGGATAATTGAAATTTAGACTAACTCCTATGGCATCTTTAAGCCCTTCCCAGCCTTCTTGAATAGTTCCTATATGACTCACTCACCATCTCATAGATACCCTTCTCTACTCAACTATTCTTAATATCTCTAATGTTAAGTCAAATTCATCTGTAGAACTCGCTCAATCTTCATTCTTATTCTAGAGCAACAAAGAACATGAACTATGCCTTTAATTGAGGGAGTCTTCCTCTGTCACCCAGGCTGGAGTGCAGTGGTATAATCTCGGCTCACTGCGATCTTCACCTCCTGGGTTCAAGTGATTCTCCTGCCTCAGCCTGAGTAGCTAGGATTACAGGCATGTGCCACCCACGCCCTGATAATTTTTGTATTCTTAGTAGAGATAGGGTTTTGCCATGTTGATCAGGCTGGTCTCGAACTCCTGACCTTGTGATCTGCCCTCATCAGCCTCCCAATGTGCTGAGATTAGAGGCGTGAGCCACTGTGCCTGGCCGCCTCCTATTATCTGACATTCTTTGGTTACCATTTTAAAAATTGCTTACCAGGAAGGGATTCATTATTAGAAACCAGTATATAGAATCAGATGAGAAATGAAACAAATTCCATTCGTTTCCCAGGAAGTTTATATAAGGCAGAAAGCACACCTCAAATTAATGTTTAATTTTCCATTTTTATGTTTTAAGTTCCATGTTACTGTGAGGGAATTGATATTAAATGCTATTGATTATCTAATTATTCTGCCAGATTTCATGTGAGAAATTAGAAAAATAGATGAATAGCTATGATATAGGAAATATTAAAATCCCATTTTAAATTAGGCTATGATATAGGAAATATTAAAATTTAAAATATTAAAATATTTCCTATGATATAGGAAATATTAAAATCCCATTTTAAACACTTGAAGGATTGACAGTCTACTTTTGCCAACAATCTGGTAATAACTATCCTATGTCCACATATGACAAATGAAAGCACATGATAATCTAATGGTTGAAATTTGAACTTTAAAAATGTTAGAGCAGCAAATTATTTGGGGGAGTGCCACATCTTTTTACACTTTTTGTCTGGTCATTGTTAGTTCAAGAATATTAGAACTGACTGTAAGAGATGTTAGAAGTCCCTGCTTCTAGTGAAAAAATAGTCTCGTTCTTGCTTAGTGATACTAGCCAATACCAACTGAGCCCTTACTGTGTTTCAGGCCCTGCTCTAAGGTCTTTGTGTGTTTACCTCACTTAATTCTCACTGTAATACTAGGAGATAGCGACTATCATCATCCCCATTTCACGACTTGAAAAAGAGGCAGAGAAGTGATTTACACAGGTTAATCAACCAAGAGGTGAACTAGGGATACAAATGCAGGCATTCAGGTTTCCAGTCAGTACTTTACCACTGTTCTATGTTGCCGGTCTAACAAGCATCATGTGAAAATGTTGACAAATTATTGGTTTCTGAGTCAAGCAATCAAATATTTTATCAAGTACCTGCTATGTTATAAGCCACTACTAAGCATTTTCCCTTCCATTTTTACACCTAGGACACTTGAGATTGTCAGTCATTATACCTCCCCTTTCACAGCCAAGAGTCAAGAGAAGGGAGATCAGTTAGAGCCTTCTTCTCATAGGACTGATGCCAAGGCTGCTGGATCCCATAGTAGATTCCCTTCGTACATCACCCTACTAGGCATTTTCTCAAAATGTTTTAAAATGCTATTTAAGCCTGGTATTACAGTCTTCTGGTTATTTATCTTCATCGCTTCTCTTGGGAATATTGCCCCTTTCCAGTGCATTTTCATAGTAACCACTCCTGCAAATGTTAAATGTGTATCTATGAACAGGAAGCAATGGATTGTTGACTGTTATAATTTCCAAAAGATTCTCTCCTACCCTTTTGTGTGCTTTTCTTCCTCTGTGGCTAAAACTCTTCAGTGGAAATGGGCAAAGTGTTTTGCTTTATACAAAAGCTACTTTGATTTAGATTCCACAGGATGAGATAGTCTGAAAGCAAATGGTCCAAAAACAGCGAAGAGTTTAGTGTATTTTGGAGGTGGGGAATCAAGGTATATTGTTAACCACTCTGAAGGGGAATCGCCTTACTTGTGCCCTGCCCCCAGAATCTTTTCCGTGTTTCTTTTCTAGAAAAAGAAAGTGTTAACTCAGTAACTGCAAGGCCTAAATGTACCACACTCCATGCTTTGTTTCCAAACCCAACTTATTTTCGCAAATCCCCTGTCTTTAAATGCCTCTCCAAGGATGTCATTTTTTTGTCTTGAAAGCCTAAGTAGTGGCTAAATGCTAATTCTTACTCACATGAGATGGCATATGGTGCGAGATGCCATTCTAGTGCAATCTAGGGAAAAACTGCCCACCTACCCAATGACAAAGCTCTCCGAAAGGGAAGAAATCTAATTTCCCGTCATTTATGTTGATACTCTGATTCAAGGCAATTGTGATTAACTCCCCCAACCCCTCTTAAATGTGTGCTATGATTGAAAACTTGCTTCCAGAATAACATTAAAAAGAGGGAAAAATTAACGGTACAGTAGCTATTGAAAGTACTTATTACTAAAAACTTGGCAAACAACTGCGGTCAGGTGCTTGAGGTTGACATCAACCATGAAAGTCAGGTTGATAGCATGCACCCTTTACTGGATGGGATGAGTGGCAGTTCACCTGCTACTTTCCTCTCTACAACACATAACCCCAGTCTCACCATGAGCAGAGTATCAGACAAACCCAAATGAGGGACATTTTACCAAAAAAAAAAAAAAAATCCAACAAGTATTTAACTGTCAAGATCATAATAAACAAGAAAAGCCAGAAAAATGGCCACAGGCCAGAGGACAGGGAGTCATAACATGTTGACCTTACAGAAAAATGACAACTAGTAAAACTAATAAAAGATGGACTTCAGTTAATAGTAATGTACCAATATTGATTTCTTTGTGACAAATGGTAGTCTAACATAACAGGAAAATTTTGAGGGGTATACTGGAGCTAACTTTTCTGCAAATCTAAAGTCTCTAAGATGAAAATTGAGAAAAATACATTACTACTTAAAAGCTATACAAATAGCATCTAATATTAACTTAAGAGTGATATGTAGACTTGTATTTATATGTAGACTTTTTACTTGTATTGATATTTTAGTCTTTTTGATTTGGAAGATACAGTAAAAATAGGGTGGAGGAAAGAGGCTGGAAATTAGCATTACTTGAATGCTATTAGGCACATTTCTGAACTTTCATCCTTTTTTTTGAGACGGAGTTTTGCTCTTGTTACCCAGGCTGGAGTGCAATGGCGCGATCTCAGCTCACCGCAACCTCCACCTCCCAGGTTCAGGCAATTCTCCTGCCTCAACGTCCTGAGTAGCTGGGATTACAGGCATGCACCACCATGCCCAGCTAATTTTTTGTATTTTTAGTAGAGACGGGGTTTCACCATGTTGACCAGGATGGTCTCGATCTCTTGACCTCGTGATCCACCTGCCTCGGCCTCCCAAAGTGCTGGGATTACAGGCGTGAGCCACGGCGCCTGGCCCCTTATTTCCTTTTAAATCCATAGCAAGAGTCCTATTACATTGGGGAGAAAATTGAGGCCGAGGGTATGGGAAACAGCTCAGGGTCTTCTATCTGCTATGGATTTTGTAGCTACAAGAGTAAAAGTTAGGGATTGGAAGAACGGTAACTATGAAGGGCTGAGTGATAAGGAAAGGGAAGATAGAAGGAAGAGGGTGAGTTAGGATCCCCAGGGCTCTCCACAATCTTGTGAAGATGGATGTGTTTGCTGGCTGGGTGCTGTGAAGAGACTAGTAACAATTTTTGGCAACATAACTTGTAGCTGCTAAGATTGAAGTCTATGACAGTGAATTTTAAATAGAAAATGATCTCAAATCTATTTTCTCACAAGATTATATAAAGCTATGTAATCATTTTACTTCCCATATTTTATTGATTAAAAACTCTGGATTCAAGTTATGCTAAAGTTTTCTTAGATTCATAAGCAGCTTCAAAAATACTGAACTTTTGCATTTTGGATGCCATAACTAAAGATCCATGTCTAACACTGATAAGCTTTGACACAAAGCATTGTTGCTTAATTCTCATAATTAGTAAGACAAGGATAATGTATGTTTCTGTAAAATTTTCTTCTGTATCATTTTTTCTGACCTTGTTGCTATGGGGACATCATCTTTGCTTCATTAGACTCTTGGCCATTCTGGCTCTCACCCTTTTCATCACTTGGTTAGCATGCATTTTGTTCAAAGATATGTCTTGATTAGTGTAAACAAGTCTCACTACTTCAGTTCACAGAAATGTTTTTAGTCAAAGATGCATATATTCAGAAAGAATCTTCATCTCTGTGGTTAATTTCATCGTGAATTATTTTCTTCCAGTGTCAGAAGATATAAATTTAGACATAAAATCTAAGAAATACCTGTATGAAAAAAAACCGTATTACGATGAAGTTAAAAAAATCATTCAGTAAGTAGTCAGTTGATGTATTTCTATGCTATTTAATAGATTAGTGTGAATAAAAATAGCTATTCTTTGTGCCAGGAATGTTCCTATTTCTTAATCAACATGAATGTAATGTCCTGTGAACCCCGTTTAACAAAAGTGAGGTACAGAGACATTAAGTCACTTGTCCAAGGCTCCACAGAATACAAGTGGAATAAGTGTAAAGTCTAAGCCAGTGTGTGGGAACACTCTTACTTTGCTATAAAGAAATGCCTCTTTTATGAAAAGAGGTTTAAGAAAAGGGCTCACAGTTCTGTAGGCTGAAGAGAAACCATAGCATTGAGATCTGCCTGGTGGAAGGTGAAGCAGTAGCAGGCACATCACAGGGCTACAGCAGGAGCAAGAGAGTGGGGGAGGTGCTACACGCTAAACATCCAGATAACCGAGAACTCGCTACCCTGAGGACAGCACCAAGCCGTGAGGAATCCACCCTCATGACCCAAACACCTCTGACCAGGGCCCATCTCCAACACTGAGGATTACATTTCAACATGAAATTTGGGCAGGGACAAACATCCAGGCTGTATCATTCCATCCCCGACACCTCCAAATCTCATGCCCTTCTCCCATTGGGAAGGCATGATTTTATTTTGCAATAGTCCTCCAAAGTCTTAACTCATTCCAGCATTAACTTACAAGTATGAAGTTCAAAGTCATCTGAAACAAGGTAACTTGCTTCCACCCATATGCCTTAAAATAAACAAGCCATTTACTTCCAAGATAAAATGGGGACAAAGGCATTGGCTAAACGTTTTCATTGCAAAAGGGCAAATTGGCCAAAAGAAAGGGGCTACAGGCTCCAGGCTGGTCTGAGAATCAGCAGGACAGTCATTACATTTAAAGCTTCAAAATCTTGGATTCCATGCTCACACCCAGGGCACACTGGCACAAGGAGTGGGCTCGCATAGGTCTTACACAGATCTGCCCCTGTCTCCCCACAGGGAACAGCCCCCGTGGTTGTTCTCATGGGTTAGAGTGCCTGCAGTTTTTTCAGGCACCGGATGCAAGCTGCCAGTGAATCTATCATTCTCAAGTATGAAGAACAGCGGCCCCCTTTACAGAGCTCCACTAGGCAGTGCATGAGACCTCGAACCCTGTATTTCCCCTTTGCTGTGCTAGTAGAGATTCTCTGTTAGGGCTCTGCCCCTGCAGCAGGATTTCTTCCTGGGCACTCAGGCTTTCTCTTACACCCTCTGAAGTCTAGGCAAGGCTGCCAAGCCTCCTTCCCTCTTGTACTTTAGGTATCTGCAGGCTTACCATGGAAGCCACCAAAGCTTATGGCTTACACAATCTGGAGTGGCTGCCCGAGTTGTACCTGAGGCTCTTTGAGCCACAGCTGGAGTTGTCGCAGCAGGGATGTGAGGAACAGTGGTATAGTTGTTCTAGGTCTATGGGCCTGTGATGGGAGGGGCTGTCTAGAAGTCCTTCAAAGGCCTTTTTCCTGCTGTCTTGGATGTTAGCTCTTGACTCTTTAGTTATCAAGATCTCTTTAGAAAGCAGTTGCTCCACAGCCTGCTTGAATTTCTCATGACAATCCTTTGTTTGCCAAATGACTGGGCTGCAAATTTCTTGAACATCAACATTCTGCTTTCTCTTTAAATATAACATCCAACTTTATTTCCTTGATCCCACATCTCTAAGCTAGGCTGTTAGAAGCAGCCAGGGTACATCTTGAGTGCTCTGCTGTGTGGAAATTTCTTCTGCTAGGTATTCTATCACTGTTAAGTTCAAACTTCCACAGATGCCTAGGGCATGAACACAATGCAGCCGAGGTCTTTGGTGAGGCATAATACAGATGACCTTTGCTCGAGTTTCAAGTTCCTCATTTCCATCCGAGATCTTGTCTGCTTGGACTTTACTGTCCCCATCACTATCAGCATTTTGGCTACCACCATTTAACCAATCTAACAATTTCCAAAATTCCCTTCATCTTCCCGTCTTGAGTCCTCTAAACTCTTCCAGCCTCTGCCCATTAGCTACTTCCAAAGCCACTTGCACATTTTCAGGTATCTTTATAGCAGTATCCTGTTCTTGGTGCCAATTTTCTGTTAGGCCATTTTTGCATTGCTATAAATACCTGAGACTAGGTAATTTATAAAGAGGTTTAATTGGGTCATGGTTCTGCAAGCTGTACAGGTATGGTACCAACATTTGCCCAGCTTCTGGTGAGGGCCTTAGAAACCTTAAAATCATGATGGAAGGTGAAGGGGAAGCAGGCAACATCACACGACGAGAGCAGGAGCAAGTTTGGGGTGGTGCCACACACTTTTAAACCACCAGATCTTGCAAGAAGCCACTCACTGTTGCAAAGACAGCACCAAGGGAATGGCACCAATTCCTGCAAAATATGCCCCCGTGATTCAGTTACCTTCTACCGGGCCACATCAACCCTGGGGATTACAATTCAACATGAGGTTTAGAGGGGACAAAAGTCCAAACTATGTCAGAAAATATGTGTAAAGTACCTAATACAGTTCTGAAGAGATGGCACCAGAATATCCTTTCCCTTAAGTGTTTAATAAGGATGAATAAAAACTTTTTGTTCTCAGAAATCCTGAAGTCACACACAACAATGTGTTTAGTTGCTGGCTGACCAGAAAGGAATTAAGACCAGTAACCTAAAAGAATCATTATTATGCTAAGGTATATTGTTTAAAAACCGATGAGAATCCTTCCTGGAGATTTTATGATGAAAGTATTTCACTCACTATAAATATCAACTGAGGTCCAAGGGAATGCCACTTTCATAGAGCAGATTTGTAAATTTCTGGTGAAAGTTTGCTGTAAAGAGCTGATAATTGATAAACATTCAATGTCCATTTATCAACTAATCTACTCCAGAGTTTGTTAGGATTACATGAGAAATGTAAAACACTTTGACCAGTGCCTGGCATATTATAGCAACCAATACAATTTTATTAGTAGTGTTATGTCTTGGAGCATAACCTTTGGAATTAAATATATTTCAACTTAAGTCCATGGTCTGCTATTTACCAGTTATGTGAACTCAAATTACTAAACCATCCTAAGCCTCAGTTTCCTCATCTGTCTTAAGGGCACAACAAAACCTTATACATCGTGAAGATTTCTTCTTTGACATAGCACATTGGTTTTCGAAGAGTGGTCCCTGGCCTAGCACCATAAGCATCAATTGAAACTTATTAAAAATGTAAATTCTGGGACCCTCATCCCTGCTTTCCTCCATTAGTCAGAATCCAAGGGGTCACATAGCATTCTATGTTTCAGCAAGCCCTCCAGTCGATTCTGATGCCCGTTAGTTTGAAATCCACTGACGTAGCACGTAACTTTTTCCATAGCAGGTGCTGAATATGAATTAGTTTCCTTTTCTTAGGTACTAAGCCATTATTGTGACAAAAAAACCAGTTCCTACCTTCACAGAACAAAGAAATATCCAGGCTCTATCATTCAATCCCTGGCACCTCCAAATCTTATGTCCTTCTCAAATTGCAAAATAAAATCATGCCTTCCCAATAGTCCTCCAAAGTCTTGACTCATTCCAGCATTAACTTAGGGTCCGTTGGGGGGAAATGGGGGAGGGGCAGGGGGGTGGGGAGGTGGGAAGAGATAGCATGGGGAGAAATGACAGATACAGGTGAGGGGACGGAGGGCAGCAAATCACACTGCTATGTGTGTACCTATGCAACAATCTTGCATGTTCATCACATGTACCCCAAAACCTAAAATGCAATAAAAAAGTATGAAGTTTATAATTTTAAAGAAACAAGCCATTTACTTCCAAGATAAAATGGGGGCACAGGCATTAGGTAAATATCTTCATTGCAAAAAGGAGAAATTGGCCCAAAGAAAGGGGCTAGTCTGAAAATCAGCAGGTCATTACATCTTAAAGCTCCAAAATATATTGAATTAAGCTTTAATAGATTTCCATTCTATTATCCAATTATTACATGAAGCAAGCAAACTTTTTGTTCCAGACGTTGCCTTTAAGAGCATGATTAAAATAGATTCTTCTCATGTGAACATAAATACAACAGCTTTGGTTAGTTATTTAAAGGGTACCTGCCAATTCAAAATTAGATGTTTTGTTAAACACTGAAAAAAAGATTCCATTCTACAAAGGATGCAATTTTCTTGTAGATAAAAAACTGGAGCTTTTCCAGAACTGCAGAATATTCATTTTCAAGGGAAAATAAACACAAAATAAATGAATGGGAAGCCTTGAGTTCCTTTTGGTTCCTTTGAATAAAAAGCACAAAGGATTTATTTTGAACAGCTGTGTTTATAAGGTTTGCTGATCACTGCAGCTGTACCAGCTGAGTAACAGGAAGGTTAAGTTTATGAAAGTTGACTTGGAAATGTGCTAGCTCCTTCCAAGAAATTAATGATATTGTACTTTCTCCCCATCTTCTAAAAACCTGCTGTTGTGAAGATGCATTTAGGTCATTAAGCATTGGAGCCTTGGAAGAACTGCCTGAAGTAAATAAACCTGCTTTCCTTCTAGACCGAGAAATACTTCAGGAAAGAGCCCGAGAAGCATCCCCAAATTCGAGACCTCATCAGTTTTTGAAAGTAAGTCCTTAGCCATCATACGACTCTATTATCCTTCTTCATGAAACGTAATTAAAAATAGAGTAGAAAAGCATGAAAACAATATTTCACTGCAACCTGCAAGGCAAACACAAGTGCAGTTTAAGATTTATAGTTCAGCCAATTTGTGCTCTCAGATAGGACAAACAGGCTGGGAAATAAAGTGAACATTTTTGTTTCATCCTTTTTCTGAATTTGGAATGCCATGAACATGTATCCACAAGTCTTCCATGGAAGAGACTCTCCCCAAATAACGTTAATTTTCAAAAGGGATACTGGAGGAAGCCATCATACCACTTTACAACACAGTGTCTGGCAATCTCAATTTTCATGTGAAACACTACAAATAAAGACCACTTAAATTGTGTTGTCTTAAAGTCTTCAAGCTGCAGTACTAGGCTAATGCGATAAGACAAGAAAAGTTAGAAACAGTGATCTCTAAAGATATAGAAACAAGATGTATTAAATTTCAGACTATAGTCAGTTTTTACAAGTTTGAATTCTATAGAAAAATTCTTCTAGCAAAGAGGGGTCCTGTGGGAGAGTAAGTAACAACCCGATTCTCAGTGAATCACTCAAAGCATATGGACACTGCAGGGAAGCTCATTTTAAATAAGAAGTTCAAGTTTTCAACTTGTAACAGAAAAAATTCAGAATTAAACAAAGCCATCCAAGATCTGCTGTTACAAAACTTTTCGAATCCTGATCTGGGGTTCAACATCGTTTTTGAGAAATAGTAACGTTTGCAGTAGGAAGGCATTTTCTTTTGTCCAGTTAGGAAGTTTAAGAGTCTCCTCTTTGCTTGGTCCCTTATGGAAAGGGAGAACAGCTGGTCGACATTGTTGTTGAAATTCTACTTGTAGGCAAGATACAGCTGTCATCTCATTTCTGAATAGGATTTAATAGGTAGTGGCAGGTTATTCTCACCACACCACACAAAAAAAGACCTAAGTTACAAATGATGTTTAAAGCCATCAGAAGTCTGTGGAAGCAATGATCAAAATAACTACTTTCCAGAGATGGTAGGGCCCTCCCTAGATGAGCTAAAATTGCCAAGTATTTTCTTCTCTGGGGATTTATTATGTTTGGGCATTGCTAAGAAACAGACCTGCATTAGACAGACTATCATGGGAAAATAAATTTGGAAGAGTTTTGATGACTCTGTGGGTTGGTGTGATGTATTGGAATCTAGAGAAATGTTACAGCTTTGGACAGTCTTTCCCATAGGATATTCTCCGAGCCCTGGGTTGGTGGAGGAGATTGTGGATTAGACTGGAAATGCAAAGTAATGTTTTCTGCAGTTTTGCAGTACTTGGGAGACAATACCCCACTAAAAAGAGAAGCCTACAACAGACATTTGAAATAAGTGGACTAAGCCTAAATAAATCCGCACCTGGGCAATGACCCAGCTCAATTCCTAATTGGATTAAGGTCATCAGCATCTCATAAGAGTGAACCATCACTGAGAAAATATTTCAGTGCCTAGAGATCTTTTAAAATTTTCAGTCATGTGAAAAATTACAGGACTCAGCAGGAAAACTGACTAAAGATCAAGGGGAAAAGAATATGTATTAGAAGCAGACCCAAGGATTATCCAGATATTGGAGTTAGTCAACCAGGACTTTAAAAATTACCACTATGAACATGTTTCAAAAATGAACAAAATGAAAATTTAACTGAGAACGAGAATATAATAAGTTTCAAATGGCATTCTAAAACTGAAAATATGTATGTGTGTATACCTAATTTCAGATATACCTACATATAGAATCAAACTAGGAACTGATTAGATGGGTTTAAAAGACTGGTCAGTATGAAACATGCAAACTGAAGCCTACCTAAGGAAATAATGTTTGTTTTATTCCATTATTCTATGCTCCAGTAGACTTACATCACAAATATTTTTAACATGTGAAACTGCAATTTTATAACAGAAGCACAGGAATGAGAGCATAATTTAACAAAAATAGCTGAGAATTCAAAATTGAAGGTACATTTGATAAGTTTCTATGAATCTCATGTAGAATACAAACACGCAAACAGTACTTAGACTTATCACGGTAGAACATCTCAAAACCAAGGCTAAAAGATTTTAAAAGCAGTCAGAATAAGACGCATCAACATTAAGAGCAGGATTTTAAACAGGAACTATAGATGCAGGGAAATATATTAACTTAAAAATTCAAAAAAAAAAATCAACCCTGATGTTGAGTTTTAAATCCAATGAAAATATCCTTCCAAAGTTAAAATGAAATACATTTTTAAGACATGTAAAAGCTGGGGAAGTTACTCATAAGCAGGTCCATATTTTCAGAAATGCAGTAGAAAATTCTTCAAACTGAAGGAAGAGTCTCAGATGAAAGCCTAGTGTCATAACAATGCTCTTTATTCCTTCTAGATCAATTTTTATGATTTGTATTCTTAGTGAAGAGGTAATATAGGAAGTAAAAAGGTATAATGCAGAATGATTAAGATGTTTCAATAGCTCCCTATTTCTGATTAAATGCTGGAGTCCTTAGCATAGTTAGCTAGCTGCTCCATGGTTTGGCCCCCACCTAGTGTTCATGCTCCTAGAACCAGCCTGTAGGAAACTACATGTAGCTCCCCTAGCACAGCATGTTATATGTACCACTTTAGGGCTGCCTATACTACTCCTCTACTGGAGTGTCATCCCGTTTTTTTTTTAACCTGGCTCACAGCAACTTAACTTTTAACATCTAGCTCAAGTGTACTCTAGTTTCCCTGAAAAGTCAATCTGTGAATTTTCCTGTGTTCCTATGGTATGCTTCTCTTTCACAGCCCTTGAACATGATTTACTTTTTTCCCCACTAAGATGTCAAGATCTCTGAAGGCTGGGTATCTACATATTATCTGCGTCGTCAGCATTCAGCACAAATGCTACTATATGCAATATCTGGCCTAGGAAAAGCTAAATACAAAAATGAACATTTCAGTAACTGCTTGTCAAAGACTATCATATAGAGTATATACAATGTGCTTCAGTCCTCCAGAAATTTCTAAATGGCACACCAGTACTTCAAACTTAACACATTGCAAACATTTTTCTACTGTGTCAAACTCAGTTAATGTCTCTATCTGAGGACACTCACTGCAGCCAACCTGGATTTATTTTGACTTCTGGTCATTCCTCAACCTTGATATGTCCTTCCTCACTTTCCTTGGTCTTTACTTTTCTCCTACTCCAAGTTCCAGCTCAAATGTGACTGAATTCTTTCCTATGCTTCCGTCAGAATGAATTTTTCCTGGTATTTTCACAATCTCATCGGTGGTATCATATGTCAATGATTTGCATCTGTTTCTTTCAAAAGTTGTCATCAATTTGCACCTGTTTCACAGGTTGGTGACACTTAAAAGAATTTTCACTTGCAGAGAAGGCAAGTAAGAGGAAATACTTTAAAAGCACACAAAGGAAGAAACACCAAAGAAACCAAAAGAAAACATCTTAACTGGGGAAGTCACAGGAAATTTTAACAAGAAATCCAGAGGAAAAAATTCTCCTTGAAAATTAGTCTTTAGGTATTTTGGTTATTTCTGCCCACACATTAACCCCACCCTCTTCACCCACACATCTTCCCTGCCCATATGAAGAATTCGTTTGCGGCTTCCTTCTGCCACAAATTATACAAAGATTCATCATAAAGGCAGGAACTTTCAGCAGTGAAGAGAGGCCTTTGCTGCTCTCATTGTTAAGCTCTCTGGCTTCTTTCCTCTACAGCTTTTGCATATTTTCTGTTACCCATTCATCTTGCCTCAAATGTGACTCCATTTTCCATCTTGGTTTCTTCCTATATGCATACCCTGTATTTGGACTATCTTTACAACTTTGTCTTATGTCTCTGGATTTTACTGGTTCTCATTTCATGTCTGTCCATGGCTCACAAGGACAAGATAAGTTCTTCCCATATTCATTCCTAAAGGTGAATCATCCTGGTGAAAAACAGGATGACAGACTGGAAGCCTTATCAGACACGCCGAGTTATTTAGAGCTGTCAGAAGTTTAAACCTTCCCTTTGGAGGTTGAGCAATTTCGCTTGAAGTAAATTGGAAATACGATTAACAAGGAACAATATACAAACTGATGTACCCATGTGCATGAAAACCCCACAAAAATAGACTCAAGGAAGGGCCAGATGGTTAAATTTAGATGCCCTAGCCACAGACAAGTGGAAAATAGCAAACAGCAGGGTGGAGGGGGGAGGGTGAGAGGTATAGGCAATTTTAGAGGGAGAGTAGTTACTTTTCAGGGGAAATGGATCAAGGACCAGAAAAATGGTCTGGGACAAAGTTTCTCTGGGCTCTGGGGGAGGCGATGACAATTTTTAAAAGGTGAGGGGTGGAACTGCACTGTGAACAAAGGTTGTCTTATGCAATAGTCTCGGGTTAAAAAAATTTTACAGCAGCTTCCAGAAAAATAGGCAATAGCCCATTTGGGTGTGATGACTTTAAATTCTTACTGATAAATGACATTTGCTGGTTGTTTGATAAGATTTTTAGAGAGGGGGTTCAATACAGTTGCATTTCTTTAGGAAGAACTCTCAGATAAAGGAACTTCAGAGAGAAGTCTCTCCTGAACTTTGGAAGGAAAAGTGGGGCAGACGGCAGGAGAAATTAAGATTGGTTTTGAGGTCTTTCAATCCACTGTGTTCAATCCACTTATGCCAAAGTGTCATATTCTGGGGTATCTGAGGCCCCAAAAGCCCTAAATTTATGGCTTTAAGAGAAATGAGCAGAACCATAGATTACTCAGAAGAACAAGTGATTTTAAATTTAGCAAAAACAATTTTTTAAAAAGCTAGTTTTTGGAATTGGAATGAGGTTGAATTCAAAGGATTCTGTGCCCAATAGGAGATGAATAGGTGTATGACTATCAGTCTTCTAGTTTGGATAGATGCATGGAAGAAGTATCAACAAGATAAATATAGTTCGGAAATGACATTGGTTTCTATGATGTCGAGATGGAGATACCTATGGGAAAGCTGACACTTTTCCTAAGGAAAACCTACTTAGGAAAGCTGACCTAATTTTCTAAGAAACTAGCCAACAGAAAGGACAAAGAATAGCAGAAAGGACAAAGAATAGGTAATCACTGAAAAGAAACTACAGTCAATAGGCATATTTTAAGCTATAGGTTCAATATTTTTCTTCCGAGTTTAGGTTTGATACATACATGTTTTAGAAAATTGACTAGGTAGAAGTAAACAAAACTCTAAGGAATACAGGAATAGGAAAACGAGAGCAGCCGCTTCTCCCCAAGCCTGAGAAAGACTAAGGAAGAGTCTCCCCCCATCCCAGGATTGAGCAGGCTTATCCGTGCCTCACTGGATGGCAAAGCCACAGAGATGCTTGCCGAGGTCAGCTCGGTCGTGGCAACCCCAACGCAGTGGCACTGAAGAAATTAAGAAATAAACACAAAGATGGAACAGCAAAGCGAGATCAGGACGCTAACGGCCTTCTGAGCCGAGAGCTCCAGCAGGCGCTGATCCACGTATTTATTCTCTGAACAGGTGATTATTAACAAGCAGGTGTTGTTTTCTCATAGAACAAAGAAACTAGGCAGGCAGCTGGTGCCTGCTTACCACTGATCAAAGCCAAACTAGAACGCGTTCTCCACGAGGAGGCAATGGGGGCGGGGTCACATAGCCCGTGTTTAAAGAACTGGTTTAACTGGTGTACGATATACATACATACATGTACCGTATACTGTTTTAGAATGCCTCGAGCAGTTTTCCACTTGGGGGTGCCGACTC